ACGGCATAGCAACATCGGACAATTAAACTAACTACTCGAAGTTCTAAGTTCAGTTCGGTTTCTATTGACCTCGGGCCAGTGGGATCAGTTTTATTTGTTGCATGTTTCTTGATCAGTTTAGGTTTTAGTACATTATTTCTGTTCATTGCATCTTCTGCTAGAAGTTTGGTTTGGTTATTACCATTAGGACTTGTAGCGTTAAACTGTGGATTCACATTTAGTTGGGAGAGCTTCTCAGAAGCCTTCTGGCTCTGCAGTCAACTTCTTCACCTCTTTTTGTACCATTACGTAGCTACTTCAGTAAAATTTTTTAAATGCCCTCTACACTAATAAAACCAGCACAGTTAGATAGCTGTAAACAATCTCTTTCCAATGGTACCTCATTTAGGCTTGTATGTCATTTCTGAGCTGAGATATGTAGGTTTTTGTGGAGATGAGATGTAAGAAACAGCCGCTAAAACTTGTCTCCCAGAAACAAGAAGTTTTTCTCTGCGCAACCTACTGCGCAGTTCTGTATCGGCTTTGTTTACATTGGACTGTCATTGGACAAGATGGCAGGTAATGAGACACAGCCACTGGCTGAGCCAGCGATTGCCTGAAAAATGTCACTGTACATCTACCAAGCCACCGTTCAGTAAGAAATTGTATACACAAATGTAAAATTGGACGGAGAATTCAATTATAACTAGCATTACCAGGACGAGTAACAGTTAAAGCCTAAAGCCAACCTGAAAAACTTATCGCTATTTTCAATCAAACTGATGTAACAGAAAAACAGAGGACGTCCGGCTGTCGTAGACATGCGCTGTTAATCAGGTTCCTTCCCACTGTTTTCAGCCATTTAGAGTGGGTGAAAATCGCACCAATCCCAAAATTTCATAAGAGATTAGGACCCATCCCGAAACCCCAGCCGACATTTCCGAAACAAGTTTCAAACGGTTTCCATGGTAACGGAAATTGTCGAAAAGATCGCAAATTTCCGAAACTGTAGTCGCTACATTACGGGTGTCGAGGAAGATAAAAGTTTCTAGTTCTTGCTGACCTGTAAGGATCTAGTTCTTGCTGACCTATAAGATTCTAGTTCTATGCTGACTTCTATGGTCTTAAGTGTGAATTCCATTGATGCAGATAAAAAAAAAATAACACACACACACACACAATAATGATAATATGGCTTTCCTTTGAATCAACCCCCAAAATGGCGGCTTTAGTATGATGGCGTTCGAAAGAGAGCTGAATTGGCCAATTTCTTGCCATAAAATATCCAAAAGTATCCAAATGCAGGTCAGTTCTATTAAAAATATATGTGCCGGCTCCGGATAACGAAACAAATGCTCTGACAGGGTCTCGGCGATACGTTACTTGCCGACCTGCTTCTGCAAGTGTGCCTCACCGCCGCGCGTATCCCCTGCGCCGCTACGCGCAGTGCGGATGGGGACTAAACTAGATGGCTGGGACTCACGAGCGGCAGCTACCGCATCTCCTGCAACTTCCTCCACTTACTGTACTCGTGAGTCCCAGGCACCTAGTTTAGTCCCGCATCCGCGCCGCGCGTAGCGGCGCGTGGGATACGCTCAGCGATGAGTTTAATCGTGTTTGGCGCATGCCGACAAGTCTGACATCTACCGCTGCTAAATCCTCTAATCGGAAGAACACAGTATTGCTAATCGGCTTTCATCGTCTGTAATGTCTCGAAATTGGTCAACGGTCGCTAATATCGTCTGCTAGTATAGTCTGCAGAAACGCTCAAAATTGTTGTCAACGATCGGTATTTATCGTCTGCTACTACCGTGTGCAAATGTTGATATTGATTGTCAAGTAATCCTAGTTTTGCCGCGATTTGTTCCTTGGCAGAAAGTCCGTATTTTAGATACACGCGAACACCATTGTTCGGATATTTTTGGATATTTTATAGCCAGAATGTGGCATGCCACCATTTTGGGGGTTGATTCAAAGGAGAGCCGATAATATTAATACTATAACCATATAATGAAAACACGCGGCTCTCCTTGCAACTACGGCCACATATTAGGGAAGTTTGCCGGAGTTCAGTCCCCTGGCCGCATTGCAATTACGGAGTGGAGAAAAGGGAACGAAATAAATGACGTAATTAGTGTGTGTTGGCGATAGACAGCGTGAGCGATAGAAAGCGCGCAGTGCACTGCTGTCATCATAGGGTTAGGGGTAGGGTTAGGGTTAGAGTTAGGGTAACACATGTAACGTCGAGTACTTACCCATAATGACGGCCGCTATATCTGATAATTTTGACACAGGAGTTGCAAATAATGGCCAAAAATGTGCTGCTTGTGGCAGTGGCGCCATTGGAATTCTGCTAAATATGAAGGCAATAGCGCCCGGCTAGTGCCCAATTGGTGCTGAATTTTGCGTTTGAGTAGCATCCAGAGCCCTTCAATCGTTTGGGTGTGGATGTCACTGTGGGCGACGTCAACGAAGTTGGCCTGGTGGATGACAATCTCATGCAGATATATGCCATGCCTTAAATTTGCGACGTTGCTGTAGCCTTGCCAAGCGTCAGTCATGATCGTCGTTCCCGGCAGGACGTGATCTGTTATGATCCTCTCCAAAACGCGGTCGCTAATTTGAGTCGCAGCGCGTGGTCTGCCAGCCACGTCGACCTCACTTTGTTGTGTGATTCGTTCCTTCTCCATTCCGTAATTGCAATGCGGCCAGGGGACTGAACTCCGGCGTACTCTCCCAATATGTGGCCGTAGTTGCAAGGAGAACCAAACACGCCTCTGTTGCTTAACTGTAGCCATATCTTGATGTTGTCTCTTCTGCAAAGCTGTGTCCTAACCATGTATTGATGTTGCATCTTCTAAAGCTGTAACCCAACCATACCTTGACACTACTTGTTCTGTTCATATCTTGATATTGTCTCTTCTGATAAACTTTCTAAATGTCATTTTTCCACGCCTTCTGGCGTGTTAGGAATATAGGGCTAGACCTATATTTGTATACAATTGGCTCTTGGTGGGTGATGTGGTCAGCATCACGTGGGCCGCCTTTACTGTCGAGGACTGCACCTGGTACCCACACAAGGCTGGGTAGACCTGGGAGTCAAGGTCATTTCTTAAAAGAAGTCTTAAAACCTACGACATGCCGATCTGCAGGCGGCCAACTAGCAGCCAACGCCACAGGGACCCCAGTATCCTATCCATACCTCAGTGTTATGTGTCCATTTGTAATTGTTCACAGCCTTCATTTCTAAAACTAAGTTTTATAACCTTTCCAATCTATAAAATGTCAGATAGATGATTTTAAGTATGCTTTGTTTAATTTCAGACTGCAAATTCTTGTGCCACAAGAAGACTTGAAGTACAATCATTAACAGGGTGATACACACAGTAACATCAACATGTGAGATGTAGGCAGAGGATTTCAACAAATCTGAGTTTGGCTTTAATTTTAAATGTCTTCATTTGGTCTGTGTCTACAAAAACTTCAAAATGCGTCTGATTCTTCAGTTGTTATGCATCTTGCAACTGTGCTACATAATACCATTACAGTCTGCGATTAAAGGTAAGAATCTTGCTCTGAATAAATTGCAAGTTGTGTAAAGATTTGGGGAGGAGAGATAGATATACAGGTCCCCCTGTGTGGGTTCCGGGGCCCCATTGTAGGGGAAAACAAGAATAGACCCACTGCCTACCCAAAAGCATGTCGTAAGAGTCGACTAATTGGGGAGCTTCCTTTGAAGTCGGAGTGCATCTGCCGGAGAGGCAAGGAACCAACAGTCTGTATTCAAGAGAATGAGATTTGTAAAACTGATGCACACGCAACACTCAGGTTCTGGAGCAGGACTGCAGTTCAGTAGTGGACGAACAACCAGAACTTTCCGCCAGAGTGTACAGCTGGTGAACGTGAAGAAGAAGAAGAAAGATATACAGGTGGACAGATGGGCAACTGCCTATCAGATGTCTGTCCAATGCCTTCACCCGGTTTATAAACTATGAGTTTGATCATGTCCTGTTATCTGCTCGCATTCCTTCTCCTGTCACTGATCAGTCTCTCAGGGTAATCTTCATCTTTTTCTTCTTCTTCACATTTACTGGCTGTAAACTCTGGCAGAAAGTCCTGGTTGTTCATCCATTTCTGGACTTTAGTCTTGTTCCAAAACTTAGGTTTTGCATGCACATCCATTTTACAGATTTGGCTTATTTGTATGCAGACTGTTGGCTACATCCCCTCTCGAGGAGATGCACTCAGACTTTCAAGGAAACACTCCTAATTAGTCTTCTTATGCTAGATGATTGTTGGGGGCAGTGGGTGTATTCCCCCCCCCCCCCCCCAACAGAACCCACACAGGTAACCTAAATGGATTGGCCTATTTTAGGTTTGCTTGATGTCTAGGATTCACAGCTATAAATAATATTTATGTGATGTAACCTACAAGAATTCAGTTTCATATATACGGTGACAAGGACTAATTTAAAAAAATGTATCATTCATTATTAAAAATTTTTTTCTTTTCTTTGATCTTGTTAACTTGTAGTATATCTTCTTCCATTTGATGTTATCAATACATATATGCCTGTTTGTGTATATATGCATGTGTGTGTCCAAACAGATGCACACATGCATGTGTGTTAATGAGTTGATGTATGTGTGTGAGGGCATGTAGTTGTATGTGAGTGAGTAAGGTAAAGGTCCCTTTACACACCAGTGGCACATCGGGCATATGAGGCTAGACTGATATTTATATAGACCTGTTAGCCCCGATAGTTGATGTGGTCAACATCACGCCAGTCGCCTTTACTTCCCAGGACTTCACCTGGGAACCATTTAAGGCTGGGTCAACCTGGGAGCCAAGTGAGTGAGTTGGTGAGTGTTTAGTTTTTGCATGTGTGTGTCTTGTTTATTTGATCATTTTGTTGATCACATTTGTTGAATCAACAGAACCATCTGCTCCAGCTCCACATTATCCCGGTGAAGAGAAGCATGAGATTGGAACCCTCGCTGGCGATGTTCAAAACTGGGCCATGTTGATTCAGAACTACATTTTACAGGTTAGTGGTACTAACTTCTCGTTCACCGGCTGTGAATTCCGGCAGAAAGTCCCGGTAGTTCATCCATTTGGACTTTTGGCTTTTACCTGGACCTGAATTTTGCATGTACATCCGTTTTACTGGCTTATTTGTTTGTCGTTCCCTGCCTCACCGGCAAATGTACTCCGACTTCGAGGGAAGACGTCAAGCCTATCTTTAGGATGATTGTGTATTCTTTTTTTTGTAAATTTAACATTGTCTGTTCATGTTCTGTGCTGTTGAAGGCTTTTTGGCCGTGTGTTTGCTTGTTGTTTGTGATTGTGATAGTGTGAAGATAACTACTTTTCATTTGGTTTTATATCTTTTCATGAAACAAGGGGAAAAGAGAGTTCAAAGTTGAAAGGATTAACTTCTTTGCGCTAGGTTTTTTTCCTATTTAGTTTGGTGTTGCCTAGAAGGACAACTAACTGCCTTCTGAGAGCGTTGCACGAAGAACGAACTCCACTCTGTGATGATGATGATGGTGAGGGCTTGTCACTACAGTGCCTGTTTAGTTATTCTCTGACTTCTTCACCGGCTGTAAGCTCCGGCGGAAAGTTCCGGTTGTTTGTCCATTTGGAGTTTGGCTTTGTGCCAAGGCCTAAGTTTTGCATGTACATCCGTTTTACTGACTTATTTGTGTGCAGTTGGTTGTTCCTTGCCGTTCAGGCAGATGCACTCCAACTTTGATGGAAGTCCTCACTTGGTCAACTCCTACGACATGCTTGTTGGGGAGGCAGTGCTTTCCCCTACAATGGGGCCCCAGAACCCATGCGGGAAATTCTCTGTCCATTTCTCATCATGAACAGTTGATCACTTGATCAGTCTATCAGTTTATCAGTTTGTGTACTCTGTGCTGCTACCTTAAGGTTAACTGTACCATCCTAAGATTGAAAAATCCTAATCTGGATGGCAGACCAACAAACCAGGTCCCAGATACCCCATTCATCCTTCAAGGAAGTTATAATAAGGGCACCTGTAGCAGCTACACGAGCCAGGCGTGATCTGGGGTCTTATAGGGGTAAGGACTTATCTCCTCGTGATGACTGGCAACTTTCCGTCTTTCTAGACCAGCGGTTCTCAACCTTCCTAATGCCGCTACCTTTTAATACATTTCCCCATTTTATGGTGACCCCCCAACCATACATTTTTTTTCGTTGTTACGTCCTAACTTCAGTGAATATGTGTTTTCCAATGGTCTAAGGCGACCCGTGTGAAAGGCTCATGTGACACAAAAAAGGGTGTGACCCATAGGTTAAGAACCACTATTCTAGACGATAGTGTTATATTGCGCTATGAGGAGGCATAGGACCAACAGCCCAAATCAATGGCGAGTGTGACTAGCAAGACCCACCCATGTTAAGAAGTTTTCCATAATTTTAGCATAGGATTTCAGGAACATTTTTGTCAACATTTGTGGTTAGTGTGTTTCTTCTCAGACGCTCAACTCCCATTCTTTCTGCAATCATTTTTCCCCTTCATTGTTGTTCCCTTCCTGATGTGCCCCCTCCACACAACACAGTCCATGGTGTTTTAATCATCTCCTCATGATGTGCCCCCTCCACACAACACAGTCCATGGTGTTTTAAGCATCTCCTCATGATGTGCCCCCTCCACACAACACAGTCCATGGTGTTTTAATCATCTCCTCATGATGTGCCCCCTCCACACAACACAGTCCATGGTGTTTTAAGCATCTCCTCATGATGTGCCCCCTCCACACAACACAGTCCATGACATTTTAATCTCCTCATGATGTGCCCCCCTCCACACAACACAGTCCATGACATTTTAATCTCCTCATGATGTGTCCCCTCCACACAACACAGTCCATGGTGTTTTAATCATCTCCTCATGATGTGCCCCCTCCACACAACACAGTCCATGGTGTTTTAAGCATCTCCTCATGATGTGCCCCCTCCACACAACACAGTCCATGGCGTTTTAATCTTCTCATGATGTGTCCCCTCCACACAACACAGTCCATGACATTTTAATCTCCTCATGATGTGTCCCCTCCACACAACACAGTCCATGACGTTTTAATCTCCTCATGATGTGCCCAGTATATTGTCATCTATTTTGTCTTATAAATGTTAACATGAGAGCTTGCCCAGACATTTCTCTTATTTCTTTGCCTGTCTTAAATTCATCCCGTTTAATCTTCCTATTGTATTTCTTTTTGAATGCATTGAATTTTTCATTCCATGTCTTCATTGGTTCTCCAGTTTTCACTGGCATAAGTTAAAAGTTAAATAACTTTGTAGCATGATGTGTCCCCTTTCTTCTGGTCAGTAAGTCAGATAGACAGGTTTACCATTTTTTAGTCGTGGCAAGTTTTTGCTCATGTCAGTAGTTAGCCATTGCATTTTCCTCCTTATGTAGACTGAAAGGATATAGTTCCACCACCCACCTACTGAGTTGAGTGCTTGGTGTGACACTCTGTGCTACAGAGTTCATTTGGAATGCTTTTCAGCTGTGCCAAACATGATTTGTGTTGTGAACTGCAGATTGAGAAAAGGCTAGCGGCCTTTTGCCACAGAACTGGTGATGCTTGTAACTGCTGCATCCATCAACAATGAACTGAATTGTTAGTGCCAGACTGTTTGTGTTGGCACTTCTAATGGCTGCCTTGTGCATTTAACTGTGTGTGTGTGTGCTGTTGGCTTTGATAAGACTGCAGTCTGTATCAATGTTTTCACCAGGAACAGTGACATACTGTGGGGTTTTTCGTTGAAACACGAACATAGCAACTACGCGGTGACCCATTTGCTATGAAAATAGAACTGCGATTACCTGATTCTTCTTCTTCTCCTCTGCCTTTTACCTCAGCGAAATGTCGGGGAAGACGTAACATTCGCTGATGAGCTCTGTTAAGAGCACTATTAAGACTGATGTTCATTTCTGTAAGGCTGTTCTTAATGTCATCACTCCATCTTTTCCGAGGTCTTCCACTCGCTTTGCACCTGATTACCGTATTACCTGATTACCCGATTACCTGATTACCGTATTACCTGATTACTTGATTACCCGATTACTGTATTACCTGATTACCTGATTACCCAATTGCCTGATTATCTGATTACCCAATTACCTGATTACCTGATTATCTCTTATATTTTCTGTGACAGTTTGAAATGTAGCTCATTTAGCCCCTGCTGGACTATATCATGCTCTTTGAATATTCTGATCCTAGTTGGCCAATGATGGTATCAAGCGAGATTACACACAGAGTTATCTAGACAGTGCAAAGTATATCTCCGAGAAGAAGGACGGCAGCGAGTTGATTACTCTTGTCCAAAAGCAGCTTGGGGATTACTTCAGAAACAAGAAGCAAGCAGCTGAGGTAAGGGGACATTTTGTTTCGTTTACAGTCAACAAAAAATGCGTATTTAATTAAGCACACACACAAAGTTGTAATAATCAGTTGATAGAACAGTTACCTTTGATCCCCGTGTGGGTTCCTGGGTCCTGTTATAGGGAAAACAAGAATAGACCCACTGCCTACCCAAAAGCATGTCGTAAGAGTTGACTAATTGGCAGCTTCCTTTAAAGTCGAAGTGCACCTGCCTGAGAGGCAAGGAATCAACAGTCTGCATACAAATTAGTCAGATCTGTCAAATGGATGTACACGCAACACTCGGGTTCTGGAACAGGACTGCAGTCCAGAAGTGGATGAGCAACCAGAACTTTCAGCCAGAGTTTACAGCTGGTGAATGCGAAGAAGAAGATACCGTTGACTAGTGCAGTTACACAGGGCTTTAAGTAAGAAGATCTAATCCAGCAATCTCTGCGTAGAATGGATTGACAGCATCCAGAAATCCTGCCTCAGTAAACTATCTTGGCTGTACACATCAGGAGACACTGGGATGAAAGGAAATGAAAGAGCTGATAGATAGCAGCGTCTGCAGTAGTTAGAGTAGGCAGAAGTATGGACAGGGCAGACATACTGAATGCACAGCTTTCTAGAGAGGTTGAAACAATTGAGTCTGAGCCAGTAAACCGCCTGTTGGAAATGGGAACTAAATGATGACAGGTGTGCAGAAACCAGTTGCGAGGCAAAGAAAGACGAAATACCAATCGAACTCCTAGTGGGTTCAGGGAGCATGAAGACACTGGTTGCCAGGCAAATATAGAAGATAGGCCAGTCAACTCCTAGTGGGTTCAGGGAGCATGAAGACACTGGTTGCCAGGCAAATATAGAAGATAGGCCAGTCAACTTTTAGTGGGTTCAGGGAGCATGAAGACACTGGTTGCCAGGCAAATATAGAAAGGGCCAGTCAACTTTTAGTGGGTTCAGTGAGCATGAAGACACTGGTTGCCAGGCAAATATAGAAGATAGGCCAGTCAACTTTTAGTGGGTTCAGGGAGCATGAAGACACTGGTTGCCAGGCAAATATAGAAGATAGGCCAGTCAACTTTTAGTGGGTTCAGTGAGCATGAAGACCACTGTTGCAGGCAAATATAGAAGATAGGCCCAGTCAACTTTTAGTGGGTTCAGTGAGCATGAAGACACTGGTTGCCAGGCAAATATAGAAGATAGGCCAGTCAACTTTTAGTGGGTTCAGTGAGCATGAAGACACTGGTTGCCAGGCAAATATAGAAGATAGGCCAGTCAACTTTTAGTGGGTTCAGTGAGCATGAAGACACTGGTTGCCAGGCAAATATAGAAGATAGGCCAGTCAACTTTTAGTGGGTTCAGGGAGCATGAAGACACTGGTTGCCAGGCAAATATAGAAGATAGGCCAGTCAACTTTTAGTGGGTTCAGGGAGCATGAAGACACTGGTTGCCAGGCAAATATAGAAGATAGGCCAGTCAACTTTTAGTGGGTTCAGTGAGAATGAAGACACAGATGGCTGCTGTAGCACAGGACGGAGCACAAATAGGTCAGACTGATGTGCTAGGTTGTCGATACAGATAATAAGTAACAGGTAATTACGCAGTGCTGCATACGACAAGGATGTATACTGTTACCTGATCTGTTTTTATTATACAGTGAGTATATAATGTGATCTATCATGGATATACTAGGAATTGGGGTGAGTGGTCATAACATAAACAACCAAGGTCATGCAGATGACACTGACTTGTTGGCAATAAGAGAACAGAAATAAAGGGATTGATAGGTACGGTAGTAGTATAAAATGATAGAATTTGGCCAGATCTTGAATAATGGGAAGGCAGAAGTAATGGTAATATCAATCAAAGACAAAGAGTGACTAAATGTATAATAAAGGTCAAAGCCATTTTTTTAGGGCGAATACATAAATTTAAATATCAAGGCTATAGATGAAAGGCTAAGAGAACAAGCAGGCTTCAGACCAAAACAGGCATGCATAGATTCACATCTTCACCCTCATTGAAGAATCCATAGAAATTTCAATCACAATTAATCATAAACTTTGTCGACTTTCAAAAAGCCTTCGACAGTGTCCACCAACCTTCACTCTGGAAACTACTTAAAATGTGTGGTTTCCCTACTAGATTTATCAGTGTCCTAAAATCCTTCTACAATGAAACACGTTGCAGTGAAAGAACAGAATCTGGCAACTCTGACCGGTTACTAGTGGAAACAAGAGTAAAGGCTGTGTCCTATCACTGATGCTCCTTGAAATAGCAACCGATTGGGTCACGCTCAGATGCACAAACGGCCATGCACTCAGAAGGGTTAAGACACGACTCCCCCATCCATCAAGCCCTCATACAGACACCGGAAGGGAAAAGAAAATGGGGAAGACCAAGAAAGATCCTGCGTAGAACCATCATCAGGGAAGGCTCAGCTATGGTTCTAATAAACGCCCAAGGCTTATAAAATAGGTATCAGCGAACCGCCAGACATGGCGAGCTATGACCTCTGCCCTATGCGCCACTCTAGGCTCAAGAGAAAAGACTAACTAACTAACCAACTAACTAACTAACTAACTAACTAACTAACTAACTAACTAACTAACTAACTAACTAGCCTAACTAAACTAACTAACTAACTAACTAACTAACTAACTAATTAACTAACTAACTAACTAACTAACTTACTAACTAATTAACTAACTAACTACCTACCTACCTACCTAACTAAATAACTTACATGGATAACATCAGATGGAAGTTGTATCACAGAGATGAAGAAGAGAATAGGACAAATGCATTTTATAAAATGAAGAACATCCAACAATCTATGTCACCGGAGGTTAGAAAAAGAATTCCTGCTTGCTATATATAGCCAGTTTTAACAGCCTTCGAACAAGCATGACATACAAGGTTACTTATTAAGGTTTGTTTTCTTCAAAGTTGGAATGCATCTGCATGAGAGGCGAAGAGCCAACAGTCTGCATACAAGTAAGCCAGATCTGTAAAATTGTTCTTCTTCTTCGCGTTCACCAGCTGTACACTCTGGCGGAAAGTTCTGGTTGCTCGTCCATTACTGAACTGCAGTCCTGCTCCAGAACCTGAGTGTTGCGTGTGCATCAGTTTTACAGATCTCATTCTCTTGAATACAGACTGTTGGCTCCTTGCCTCTCCGGCAGATGCACTCGGACTTCAAAGAAAGCTCCCCAATTAGTCGACTCTTACGACATGCTTTTGGGGAGGCAGTGGGTCTATTCTTGTTTTCCCCATAATGGGGCCCCGGAAACCCACACGGGGGATCTGTAAAATTGATATGCACACAAAACTCAATTTCTGGAACGGAACTAAAATCTAGAAGTGAACAACTAGAACTTTACGCTAGAGTTTACAGCCGTGAATGTGAAGAAAAAGAAGAAGAAGAAAGGACAAGAGTCTAGCAGTCCTCCTCTCAATTCTTGACTTGTGTAGGAAATATGCACCATGTCTCTCTTACGAATAGATGCTTTCGTTTCATTCCAGCGGCTTGCAGAAAAAGTACGTGATGTCTATGATGAATTCTATGAGAAAAATATGAGTTCAACGGCTACAACGTTAAATGATCTACCATCTGATGCATACTATGATTCTGACATCCCAGATAAACTTCCTAAGGATATGTCATTCAGCCCGTAAGTGTGAACCTGGTCTGGTTGTGTACGTGCATGCGTGCGTATGTGCGAGCGGGTGGGTTGGGGATGGGGGGGGGGGGGTGGGTGGAACTAATCATCATTGTCAAGAGCTTTGCAGAATGGTGCAGGTGATTTGATGAACATGTTGAGGAGTGAAACTAAGCTCCTATGGATGTGTCCGGAGTGCGGTGATGATTACCCAGCTCATGACTCCGATAATCTTGCGGCTGGCCTAATGGTTAAGAACGCTGGGGTCTCGTGCAGGAGACACAAGTTTGAATCCTTGGTGAGGTTCTGTATTTGTTCTTTCAGGGGCAAACATAAAATCCTAAGCTGCACAGTCTGTGGCGACAGCACTTGCCATGTGGCCATAAATCCTCAGGCTAAAAGACCCCCATGCCTACACCGCAAAAGTGATAAATAAGGCAGTAAAAGCAGATCTTACCTCTGCTTTTCTCCAACAGCATGAATCAGATTGTATGTTGACACCTTTTTTTCTGTCTTCTTCTGCTGGTTGTTTCCGTCTTCCAGGTACCTCACTGAAGTGTCCTGGGTAGATGTAAGGATCTTCTGTGTACTTTGTCTTGTGCTTCCCATTGGTGGGGGGGGGGGGGGGGAGGGTCCTGTACACATTTTCTTAGTCTGACCTAGGTCAGAGGGATGTCACATTGTACTGCTTTCTTCAAAAACAGTCTATCATGTGACCTAGGCTGAGGCTGTGGATAGGGGGTTTGGGTTAGGGCCGGTTCTACATGTTCTGGGGTCATTTAAAGCTGTGTCGTCATGAACAATCGACATCAGCGCTGATGTAATTGGAGGGAAGACAACCTGACACCCATTCGACATAGAAGAGTCTGAGAAAGTATGAATGAGAGGTCAGGTAGTGTGTAGATAGGCCGGGAAATGTGAACAGGACCCACTAGGGTTCATGGGTCCATGGCGGGGGTGTAATAGACCCACTGCCCCTCCAACAAGCATGTGGTAAATGGTAAATGTCTCCCTTCCAGCAAAACTTTATCCCTACTTTATGTTATCAGTGCCAAACATGGACAGTGAATAAGGCACTAGAACAGAAAAAAACTACATGTTAAATGTGCTGTCTCCGCAAGGTCACTAACAACACAAGATGAGACAGGGTTACAAAAACCAGCATTAGAGAGAAGGTTGGAATAAGATCATGTCTGGATTATACTGACAGACAAGGAATGAAATGGTTCAGCCATCTAGTGAGAATGCAGCCAGACCAAACTACATATGAGACTTTTTACAGCAGAACATCTAAGAGGAAGGCGAGAGGAAGACCAAGAAAGAGATGGATAAATAGTGTAGCTGAAACCTGCAAAAAGATGAGCAAATCCATCACCCAAGCCACCCGAGAGGTGCAAAACAAATTCAGAAAACCATGACACTGGGCTACAACCTGGTATCAGTGTGATGAAAAAACCATGACACTGGGCTACAACCTGGTATCAGTGTGATGAAAAAAACCATGACACTGGGCTACAACCTGGTATCAGTGAGATGACAAAAGTCGAATTAGAGGTGTGCTGAAATTGGATGTGCTAGGCTGAAAGGTGAGGATATCGCAGCCTAGCTGAAAACAATAAAATAACTTTCCAGCCACATTTTTAGGGGCAAAGAAGAAAAAGTCTGTTGTGCCATGTCATCTAGTTTTGATTTTCTGAATATTGCTGTTTGTGTCATCATTCCATTTTTTGCACGATCTTCCTCTTGCTCTGTGTTCATTATTTTTGTTTCTACATCATGGTACATCTTTGGTAGATAATGCCAGTGTTTGAGAGAGGACTGTATTCATTCTAGTGAAAGGAGTGGCTGGTCAAGCGGTTACAACGTCAGGCTCTCATGCGGAGACCCGGGTTCGACTCCCAGTAAGGTGATAGAGTTTTCCTTCGGGGGTGAAATTAGTCATCTTAACCTGTACAGTCCCTGGCAACAGCACTTGCCACATGACCCTAGTTCCTCAGGCTCATGACCCCCTGTCTACACCGCCCTAAAATGTGGTCCATAAAGACAGTATCCGTAAAGACAGTATCCATAAAGACAGTATCCGTAAAGACAGTATCCATAAAGACAGTATCCGTAAAGACAGTATCCATAAAGAAGTATCCATAAAGACAGTATCCGTAAAGACATTATTCATAAAGGCAGTATCTGTAAAGACAGTATCCATAAAGGCAGTATCCGTAAAGACAGTATCCATAAAGACAGTATCCGTAAAGACAGTATCCATAAAGACAGTATCCATAAAGACAGTATCCATAAAGACAGTATCCATAGACAGTATCCATAAAGACAGTATCCATAAAGACAGTATCCATAAAGACAGTATCCATAAAGACAGTAGTGACAGTTTTTTGACATTCCAGTAAGTCAGTTGGTAGCAGCAGCTTGGAGACTTATCCAGGGGGGAGAGGTATCTTTGACAAGATGGACAGTATGTTAGCTATTTGGCTTGTATAAAGTATCAAATACTGTGGTTCTTGAAAGGGCAAACCTGCCTAGCAACCACACGATACTGAAGAATTATCAGCTGTGTTGGGCTGATCACCTAACCCGCGTGCCAGAATATTGCTTCCCAAAGAGAGTATTTTATGGCGAGCTCCAGCAAGGGAAGAGGTCCCAGGGAGGTCAGAAAAAGCGCTTAAAGGACACACTCAATACTGATCTCAATTCTTTTGGCATCAACACAGCGACGTAGGAGGCTGCTGCACAAGACTGTTCCTAATGGCGTACGTCCCTCAGGCATGGTGCATCGGCCGGCCAGGCAGCTGAGGTTGCACAGGCAGAGAATCGGAGGCAGACTAGAAAGAATCGTACTGCTAATCCCACACTTACTGCGGCTTCCATCTGTTGTCCGCACTGCTCAAGAACTTTCCAGGCTCATATTGGACTAATCAGTCACCTTCGTACTCATATTCATTGATCATTACTACTTTGGATGAAAGTGGTCTTCATCACTCGTGATGGACAAACAACATAAAGTATCTGTACCATGAAAGATAACAATGAGTAAATAAGTAGAGAAATTATTGATAAACATTGAATTATTCACGATTCTTCTGGTTGTAGATACTTCCGTCAGCAAGTGAGTGCTCTCAATTCCACAATCAAAATTGCGGATGAGGTTCCCAGAAACGAAAAACAGGTTATAGATGCTGTTCTACTGACGAGCAAGCTTGACGAGACTTTTCTGGAGAATGCTAGGAAAGACCCACTTTTAAGGTATGGAGCAGAAACATGCTTTTGTTCATTTTGATATACTCAGTATTTAAAAAGTGCTGGATTCCTCTTCCTCTTTTGTCCTACTCTTTGAGTTATGAGTTTGATTATCTTCACAGCACTCCGGACGCATCCATAGGCGCTCATATTCCCCTCTCAACATATTCATCAGCCTCGTGTGGTTAATAGTGCCAGTCCTATGTTGGTTAACTAGGCTTTGTGTGCGTCCGGTGTGCTTCTCATGCTTGGCTGTGCCGATCTTTACTCCCAATTTGCGTATTTTTAGCAGTAATATGGACACATTGCTTCCAAAATCCTCAGAACGTCCTATCTCTCTAAGGGCAATGACAATGTCTGCGTGATCCATGGGCTAGCCATCTTCAATTAATGCAGCACCTGCCAGTCTATCAGCTCTCTCATTACAAACAACGCCTGCATGCCCTGGGACGAATATGAAGGTAACTGCACACACAGGAGAGTTTTTCAATGACTCAGTCTGCATAACCAGCCTGCCTCAACCCACCAGAACATGCTCAAAGAGTCATTCGGCACACACATGTGGGAACAGTCCTGTGATTCTAGCCTCATGAAAGCTTGTGTCACCGCCATCACCTCCATCGTCATTTCCTTCTGTTTATACTGTGAAGTGCCGCAGAGATGAGTTGGATATTGTTCCTTATATCTAGTTGCGTAGCTTGTGTTAATGTCATTTTTGTTGTCTCTTGTGTGTCTTTGACTCCATCCACCCATCTCTTTCTTGGTCAGCCTCTTGCTTTGTAGCCTACTATTCTCATGTAGTAGGCTCTAGCTGATTTGGTTCAATTATGACCAAACCCTTTGATTCTTTGATGTTCTATGAAGTCATTTACAGGTACTGTGCGTCCACTGTTCTTCATTGATGACCCTTTTTCTTTTTGTTTTTCCTGACGCCATATTTTGTATACATCTCATTTGACATGTTGTAATTTTTTTAGGATTGTGCATTAATTGATAACAATATTGATAATAGATCATCATTATCATGTGCCCTGCCAGTTGGTGTAGGCGCTCATGTATCTCCACAGATCTCGATCACTGGTTGCCTGGAACAGCTCTCTTGATGATATCCCTCCATGCCATCATCCAACATCATCTCTCTTGGTCTGCTTTCCACTGATCTTTCCAGTTGTCACGATGTTTTCCAATGCCTATCTTCTAATTACGTGGCCAAAGAACAGTGTCTCCTTCTTATTGTTTTATATAGAGATCTACTTTTATTAGCTTCTTTCAAACAATCGTTGCTAGTTACTCTGGCCGTCCAAGGTATTTGTAACATTTGTCTCAGAAACCACATCTCTGTTGCTTCCAAATTCTTCTTAATTTGTTCACTAACATTCCAAGATTCACTGCCATACAGCAGAACAGGTTCTATGTAACATTTCAGCACTCTCTTTCTGATATTATTTTATAAGATATTTTTCATTGTCAAAAATGCTGCCTTCGCTTAACCTATTTTGCTTTTAATCTCTGTGACACATTCTCCATCTGATCATAATAGATAATAATTTAAAAACAGGGGGTCTTTGTGGTAAAATGGTGAAGCCAGTCGCCTCAACCTTTGAAGGGTATTGTTCATGTTCAGCCTGTGTTGTCTAGTTCATGAGTAAAATTTGTCCCAGAAATCCCTTGGAATTCTCACAGAAGCTTGCTTTGTGCTTGACACACACAGACTTTAACTTTGCTGTGCTTGGGATAGAATTTTTTTTTTTTAAAATGCTTGATGCAGTTCTGGTAATGGACTGTTAGTGTTAGCACCTCAGGCAACTGTTTTATGCATTACTTATGTATTTACTGCATGTGCCAGCTTCTGTATTTGCAGAACTAATCTGTTTCACTGATCTTCAAAAGAGACAGTAAGACAAAAAGAGACAGCAAGACAAAAAGAGACAGTAAGGCATTTTGTGCGATTTTTTTTTTTCCACTGAGGCAGGAACAGAGCAATAATAGGGTGAACTGTTTGGGTGCTTTAATAATATCCTACTCCAAACAGGGGAAATCCACAGGTCACGGGACAGTGGGTATAGATAGGCTGCATGCAGTCGTGGGACCTAGGCTGCACTCTGTCCTGAGGCGTAGGTGGGTTGGGGTAAGAGTAAGTTCTAGATGTTTTGGGGTCTTTAAAATCATCAGAAAGCCGGGAAACCCAGTCTTACCACCCTCTAAAATGTTGGACTGTCCTGTGACGTCATCTGGGGTAGGATATTAATAAAGAACCCTTGTTTGTAGGGAAGTTGAGGTTTTGAACAACGGATCAACATCATGGCACACGGATAGTAACCGGCTCTGTAGCACCGGCGAGGATCATGAAATACTTTGGGTAGATTTTTAACTCCAAAATTTACCTGGGCAGCCCCATTAGGCTACTCTTTTCGTTTTCCAACTGCCAAGGTATTTTTTTTTTTACTTGCGCAACAATACGCACCGGCGTCCGATCTCACTACCCAGAGACCAGGGGGAAATTACTAGAAGTCCAAGTCCACGTGAACAAATCCTAGCTCTTACTGGGGATCGAACCAGAACCTCTAGCTTCGAGGCGGACACCATGCCTCAAGACCGCGCAGCCCCCCCCCCCCCCCCAGTGAAGTTGAAATCACTATAGTGACTAATGACTTGCTCTGATGACTTATATTGTCATTTATGAACTATTTTATTACCATATTTACTATGTATTTGCTAAAACATTCCACAGATATTTTAATTTTCCTAATTTTTTTATTTTTAGGTCTTATATAGTTGTTACATTAATTCATTGTATTAAAAACTCATTTTAATCCCCTCTGTTCTAAAGACATTATGATAACCTCTTCAAACCTCTTCAAACCTCTTCAAACCTCTTCAAACCTCTTCATACCTCTTCAAACCTCTTCAAACCTCTTCAGACCTCTTCAAACCTCTTCAAACTGAAAAATGTATTCCCCATGTGGGTTTCAGGGCCCTATTAAAAAAAAAAAAGATGACCCACTGCCCCTTAAAAACATGTCATTGAAAGGCAACTAAGAAAGGAAATAATGAAATCAAATGTGTTGGCCAGCAAACACAGTCATCTCTGCCTGGCTGTAAACCACAATACAACACAATTTGTCAACCACCAGTTTATGGATAAACTCAGAAAAAGAAGAAAATTGTAAGTGTAGGGTATCGGCCAGATCCTGTAATCATTCCCAAATGAACCATTCTGTCTAGACTGTAATGATTTATTCACACTTCCGTATTGTTCACTTGCTTTCACACTTCCGTATTGTTCACTTGCTTTCACACTTCTGTATTGTTCACTTGCTTTCACACTTCTGTATTGTTCACTTGCTTTCACACTTCCGTATTGTTCACTTGCTTTCACACTTCTGTATTGTTCACTTGCTTTCATACTTCTGTATTGTTCACTTGCTTTCACTCTTCCACATTGTTCACTTGCTTTCACATTTCTGTATTGTTCACTTGCTTTCACTCTTCCACATTGTTCACTTGCTTTCACACTTCCACATTGTTCACTTGCTTTCACACTTCTGTATTGTTCACTTGCTTTCACACTTCTGTATTGTTCACTTGCTTTCACACTTCCACATTGTTCACTTGTTTTCACACTTACTGATTGTTCACTTGCTTTCACACTTCCGTATTGTTCACTTGCTTTCACACTTCTGTATTGTTCACTTGCTTTCACACTTCCGTATTGTTCACTTGCTTTCACACTTCTGTATTGTTCACTTGCTTTCACACTTCTGTATTGTTCACTTGCTTTCACACTTCTGTATTGTTCACTTGCTTTCACACTTCTGTATTGTTCACTTGCTTTCATACTTCTGTATTGTTCACTTGCTTTCACTCTTCCACATTGTTCACTTGCTTTCACATTTCTGTATTGTTCACTTGCTTTCACTCTTCCACATTGTTCACTTGCTTTCACACTTCCACATTGTTCACTTGCTTTCACACTTCTGTATTGTTCACTTGCTTTCACACTTCTGTATTGTTCACTTGCTTTCACACTTCCACATTGTTCACTTGTTTTCACACTTACTGATTGTTCACTTGCTTTCACACTTCCGTATTGTTCACTTGCTTTCACACTTCCGTATTGTTCACTTGCTTTCACACTTCCATATTGTTCACTTGCTTTCACACTTCCACATTGTTCACTTGTTTTCACACTTACTGATTGTTCACTTGCTTTCACACTTCCGTATTGTTCACTTGCTTTCACACTTCCGTATTGTTCACTTGCTTTCACACTTCCGTATTGTTCACTTGCTTTCACACTTCCATATTGTTCACTTGCTTTCACACTTCCGTATTGTTCACTTGCTTTCACACTTCCATATTGTTCACTTGCTTTCACACTTCCATATTGTTCACTTGCTTTCACACTTCCACACTGTTCACTTGCTTTCACACTTCCATATTGTTCACTTGCCTTCACACTTCTGTATTGTTCACTTGCTTTCACACTTCCATATTGTTCACTTGCTTTCACACTTCCACATTGTTCACTTGCTCCCAAAGGGCCTTGACCACTTCTATAAATATGATGATACACCGCCCAGTTCTGCATTATAAATCATTGCTACATACACATGTTTTCTTCTCAGGTGGCAGTATTTTGGTTCCATAATTGGGGTAACTCGGCTCTACCCGGGTCGGGAGTGGTCCAACAACTTTGCTGGCTTCTATGACGATTATGATCCTCGGGTGAGGCCGTGGTACATCCAGGCTACCAGTGGCCCCAAGGATGTCATTATTATCCTGGACTGCAGGTAGGTATTGTGTCCGTTTCCTTGATGATATCATGTCAGTCAATCTGTTGCTGTCTCCTGTACCTGGCATCTTTCTGTCTTTCCATTCCATGCTGTCTACAGCAAATTAAATGGTCTGCGCACTTAGAGAGAATGCCTTCTGATGCTATACCATACAAAGCACATACCAAAAGAGAAGAGGGACGTAGAGCAAGAGGTATACCAAGCATAAGATGGAAAGATAGCATCAGAGAAACTCTGCAGCACCATAATGTGTCTATCGTCAAAGCAGCCAGAAGAGCACGAAGCGGGAACTTATATCTCCCTCGACACCTGAAGTGGTAAAAGAGGACGTTAAGAAGATAAGAAGAAGAAGCATTTATAGAAAAAAGTTTGCCTGCCTCTTTGATCTTGACTGTCTGTATCGGGTTATAGTAAATCTGTTGATCAACAGTATATTTATACCAATACTATGCTACAAGTGCCAATCTTGGATGTTAATTTACTGATTTTAGAATCAACATCAAAGCACAATGGGCCCACCCACAGCAGCAAATGTCTTAAGGTGTAGATGCTAACTGTTCCCGTAGCACACTGATTTTACACATGTTCTCTTCCTCTCAGCAGCGTCTGTGGCTTAGGCGTGACTAGTTTGACTCGTAATTGCAACATACTGCGATTGAAACCCACTGCTGGCTGTGTGGATTTTTATCAGGGTATGGGGCGACGCAGGTCGACCCAGCCTAAAATGGGTACCTGGATGTATGTCCTGGGAAAGTAAAGACAGCGGGCATAATGCTGAACACGTTACTCACCTAGTGCTGATTGGTCTGTAAAAATATGGGTGCTTTTTCCATATGCCATTGAAAGGGATCTTTACTTTTTTACTTTTACTCTTCCTCCCAGGCGCCTATCCTTGCCGGATCCCGAATTCTTCGTTCACACATGTTATTTCATCTAACCTCATGTCTTCTATCAACATTCATACATATATGGTCTTCACAATGTCTCCCTTGTCCAATACGAGTGTTCCCTTAGCCATTGCCTTTGTAGCCAGAAAATCAATTCTTTCATTCTATCGCACTCCTGAATGTCCTGAACAGTATATCCTTGTGATTCCCTGCAGTGTTGACGTACTGATGCATGGCATCCACTCATGCCACATTAGTTCATTTGGAACCTTCCGCAGTACCGACTGAGAATCAGACACAATAACTCCTCTGGTAACTTTATTTTCTGCTATCCACCTCAGAGCTGCAGTGACTGCCTCCACCTCCATCCTCAAGCTTGAATCTGTAAATAAAAAGGCTGGATTTTGTTCTGCCACGATCTTTCCCTTCATTCAAGCTGAAAATCCCCAGCCAGATCTTACACCCCGATGAACAGAACCATCTGTGTACACTATTGCAGTCTTGGATATTATCAAAGACTAATCTATGTATAATTAACACCTGGGAAGTTAGATGTCTGAGGAAAGCCACCAGTTTAACTGTCTGAGACAAAGTGAGAAAGGATATTATCAGACAGACTATGAGAACAGCACCATATGCCAAATTCATTAGGAAATTAAAGATGAAATGGTTTGGTCATCTCATTAGAATGCAGCCAGAACAGCTACCAACAGATACGCAACACATGAAAGCTCTAATATGATAGCAAGAGGTTGCCCTAGGACAGGGCTATTCAACTAAGTTTGCTCGCGGGCCAAAATGCTGAACATGGAGACCGTCGCGGGCCACTGGCCCGAGCCCACACTACAATTGACAACATTTTCAATCTTTAGATTTAGTACACTCAAAAACTCTCCCCACTGCTAAAACACCCAAGCATCACTATGGCACTAAAACGATAACTGATAAATTGCATGTTTATACCAACCCTCTGCTACCAATGCCAAACCTGGTCCCTAACAAGAGCACAGGAGAAAAAGATCACGACGTGCGAAATGAGATGCTTACGTAAGGCTGCCAATGTCACAAGGAGAGACAGAGTTCGAAACGAGAACATTAGATCAATTGTAGGAACCACACCATGCCTGCAATACATAAAGAAGCAACAAATAGAGTGGTTTGGCCACTTGATGCGAATGCAAACCGACCAACTGCTTCTAGGAGCATACAACGAACAGCACTACTGCCCTAGAGCAAGAGGCAGACCGAGAGTACGATGGATAGACAATATATCAGAGATCCTGAGGCAACACGGACTAACAACAACACGTGCAACACACCTGGCCCAAGATAGAAAACTGCGACTCCCCACTACGCTGTGAGGCAATTGTGGACAAGACAAGACAAGACACTCAAAAACTATTAGGCCTAGGACGTAGCCTATATAAATGTAGCAGTGTTGTAAACCAGTATAATGTAAAGTGTACTACAATCTTCTGTAATGACTAATTAATACTCATTTTTAATTCTTCTTCTTCTTCGTGTTCACCAGCTGTAAACTCCAGCGGAAAGTTCTGGTTGTACGTCTACTTCTGGACTCTAGTCTCTTTCCAGAAACTGAGTGTTGAGTACAGATCCGTTTTACACGTCTTACTCATTTGCATGCAGACTAGGTTCTCTGGCCTTCAGGCGGATATACTCCGACTTCGAAGAAAGCTCCTAATTAGTCGACTCTTGCGACATTTTTTTGGGTAGGCAGAGGGTCTATTCTCGTTTCCTCACAATAAGGCCACGGAATCCACACGAGGATCACTTTTAATTGAAATACACCTATTTGCAACTTGTCGGTGGGATCATATATAAACGTTAGTTACCATTGTCACAATAATAATAATAACTGTCCACAGTTGGTTTCATGTTCTGCAGAAGAAACCGAAAGGTATAACGATGCAAAATGTAATTAATGGGAAATGCTGCATTTCCGTTTTTGAGCTCATTTTGCCAAATTTGGCTGGTGAGAAGTTAGAGCAATTCTCATGCAATCCTGCAGCCTATCGTTGCTCAGTGAGCTCTGACTGTTTGTCTTGATGACATTCATGTGTGAGATGCTTGATTCACAAGTGCAAGTTGAGCCAGACATGATGAGTATGAATACAGCAAGTTTTCTAGCATTAGGGAACTGCTTCTGTTGAATCCTCTCGACTGTACCACTTTCTTGGAAATCTTCATTCACTGCGCTGGAACTTTGCATATCCACAAGTTCTAACTGCAGAGAACCTTCATCAACAGAGGATATCAACTTCTTAGCACTGGAAGAAAAATCACACGCAGGAGGGATTTTTAAAAGGATCCTGAAGAAATAACATTACATTGTTTGGGATACTGAAGTCGTCAAATCTGTTGTTTCAATTATTCTGAAGCTTTTTAAAATATTTAAATCATTCGATCGGTTAAGGTTGCCGAGTTCAGTGTTGAAGAAATAAAATGGCAAGCATACTGGTTTCAGATTAGGCAGAGTTGGTGATATAAATAAATATTTCAGGGAAAATTGAATCTTATCAGAACAATTTTTTGGCCAACACTATGCTATCAATGCCAGACGTGGACACTTACATCCTCCAATGAACATAAAATTGTGGCAACAGAGATGAAATGCCTTAGAAGAGCTGCAGGAGTTTCAAGGAAAGACAGAATACGAAATCATGAAATCAAACAAATGCTAGGAATAAAGCCAGCCTTACAAGTCATCAAAGAACAACAAATGAAGTGGTTTGGACACCTAACAAGAATGCCCTGGTACTAGCTGCCACAGCGAGCCACACTAAAACATTACAATGGGTATAGAGCGAGTGGAAGACCTCGGAAAAGATGGAGTGATGGCATTAACAGCCTTACAGAAATGAACATCAGTCTTAATAGTGCTCTCGATAGAGCTCATCAACGAACATTACATCCACCCTGACACTTTGATGAGGTACATGGTGGAAGAGAAGAAGAAGAAGAAGAAGTCACTGCTGAATGCACAATTTTCATATTCCCACTTACTTACCATGGCATCAAGTATTAAACTAAATTATTAAAAGTAGATAATTTAAAACACTATTACTGATTCAGTTTGTTAATGTACAATCGCGTCCGGCAATCTACCTCTAACTGTGACTGTGAATGTGACTGAACTCACTGAACGTTCTTCTGAATGTTAAATATAATCTGATAATAAGATCACTAGCAAGTTTTCTGCCATGTCCAGTGTCTGATGTTCTGCTGCATCCGATGTCATTAGTTCGTGGCGCCCATTAAGGAGAGATCCTCTGTAATCTAAGCTCTAACTGTCAGGACCGTGCTGGTATTTCCGTACGCCTCCTGTCCAGTAAATATCTCACCTCCTTCATTGAATGTCCAGTGCAGCTGTGGCCTTCCCGCTTGTTACTTGTTTCTTTCCAGCCTATCTTATTATGGCTTCAAACAGACGAGTTTTGCTATCTGAGCGAACTGGGAATGAACTTTTACCCTGATCTAATTACTTTTTCTGTACCTATGCCGGTTATCTGGTACCTTCATATTTACAGATTCCTGACAAACACTTCCAATTGACACATTTGACACGACTGGTTTTTGAAGAATATACAGAAACATTGATTGATTTAATTTTTGTTCTTTTCAAAAACTACATTTCACTATTTTGGCAATGATCGGCGGACCACTTGCTAGGCCTCCCCGGGCCAGATTTGGCCCGCGGGCCACCAGTTGAATAGCCCTGCCCTAGGAGAAGACGAATTGATGACATTAGAGAGCTCATACATCGACACGGAATGACAGTAGCCATTGTTACACATCAAGCAGTGGATCGCAGATTCCCATGACGCTTAAAAGCAAAAGTAGAAATTGATGATGATGATAATGATGGGAGTATCTGTTGGGGCTACTTCATTTGCTATGCACTTGTTTTTGTGTGTCTTTTTTTATTCAGACTGAAAGTGAAAAAACATTTATCCCACAGCTTGTCAATGAAAGGAGAAAAGTTCTCAATTGCCAAGGCTGTGGCCAGGACAGTGATCCACACACTGACCAAACAGGACTATGTCAATGTGATATGTGCCAGGAACAGTCATTGGAGTGAGGTTGGGAAGTAAGTCTTGGGGTGAGGTTGGGAAGTAAGTCTTGGGGTGAAGTTGGGAAGTAAGTCTTGGGGTGAGTTTGGAAAGTAAGTCTTGGGGTGAGGTTGGGAAGTAAGTCTTGGGGTGAGGTTGGAAAGTAAGTATTGGGGTGAGGTTGGGAAGTAAGTCTTGGGGTGAGGTTGGGAAGTAAGTCTTGGGGTGATTTTGGGAAGTAAGTCTTGGGGTGAGGTTGGGAAGTAAGTTTTGGGGGGAGGTTGGGAAGTTAGTGTTGGGGTGAGGTTGGGAAGTAAGTCTGCGGGGTGAGATGGGAAGTAAGTCTTGGGGTGAGGTTGGGAAGTAAGTCTTGGGGTGAGGTTGGGAAGTAAGTCTTGGGGTGAGGTTGGGAAGTAAGTCTTGGGGTGAGGTTGGGAAGTAAGGAAGCAAGTGTTGGGGTGAGGTTGGGAAGTAAATCTCGGGGTGAGGTTGGGAAGTAAGTGTTGGGGTGAGGTTGCTAAGTAAGTCTTGGGGTGAGGTTGCTGAGTAAGTCTTGGGGTGAGGTTGGGAAGTAAGTCTTGGGGTGAGGTTGCTAAGTAAGTTTTGGGGTGAGGTTGGGAAGTAAGTGTTGGGGTGATGTTGGGAAGTAACTGTTGGGGTGAGGTTGGGAAGTAAGTCTTGGGGTGAAGTCAGGAAGTAAGTTGTGTGGTGAAGTTGGGAAGTAAGTCTTGGGGTGAGGTTGGGAAGTAAGTTTTGGGGTGAGGTTGGGAAGTAAGTCTTGGGGTGAGGTTGGAAAGTAAGTCTTGGGGTGAGGTTGGGAAGTAAGTCTTGGGGTGGGGTTGGGAAGTAAGTCTTGGGGTGAGGTTGGGAAGTAAGTCTTGGGGTGAGGTTGGAAAGTAAGTCTTGGGGTGAGGTTGGGAAGTAAGTCTTGGGGTGAGGTTGGGAAGTAAGTCTTGGGGTGAGGTTGGAAAGTAAGTCTTGGGGTGAGGTTGGGAAGTAAGTCTTGGGGTGAGGTTGGGAAGTAAGTCTTGGGGTGGGGTTGGAAAGTAAGTCTTGGGGTGAGGTTGGGAAGTAAGTCTTGTATCTACGGCACTTTGAAGAAGAAAGCAGAAATGATATTGAGGTTGAATACTCATTATTACTGTTGTTTACTCTTTCCCAGGTGGCACTTTTATGATACAAGAGTCCTGAGTTGCCAGGATCAAAGAATGGTGCCAGCGACCAATGCTCACCGTAAGGATCTCATCGAGCAGATAGAGAAACTGGAGGCTGGTGGGACAACAGAGTTGGAGTAAGTTGTAGCTATCCTCACTTCACAGGTTGCAAGCAGCAGAGGAAGCTACGCTGTAAAACAAGCAATGATTTTAATCTCTATGCTGACGTGACCCATATGAGACATGTCACATGCTAAAAGCTCTTCATATCACCTACATGTGATCTAACTATCTTATGTTTCTAAGGATAAATCCAGAAACATAAGTATAATTTTTTTATGTACTCATTTATCCTTCTTGTGTGTGTGTGTGTGTGTTTTTTTTTAATTATTTTAAAAATTAAACTTATTATTAACTGTAATTGTTTTTAGAATTTATCAAAAATTTATATTTATTATTTTGAAGTGTAATAAATGGCATTGACTGATGAATGAAATGCTTGGTTGTACAGGAAGGGTTTTGACACAGCTTTCAGTCTGTTGAGGAGTGTGCCCAGGACAGGGTGCCAGTCTATCATTGTGTTTGCGACGGATGGTAAAGACACGGACGGGGAGGATGTTCGATGTGGGCCAGGCAAGTTTGTTGTCTGTGTCTGTCAGTCTGTCTAATTCTGATTCATTCTTTTTCCTCTCTTTTGTTTCTCTTTATTCTGTTTATGTTTCTCTTCTGTTTCATTCTCTCTATGTCCTCAGATTTTCCTTCTTTTTTTTCTCTCTCTCTATGTCTCACTCTGTGTGTTTATGTTTCTCTTCTGTTTCAATCTCTCTATGTCCTCAGATTTTCCTTCTTTTTGTTTCTCTCTCTCTGTCTCATTCTGTGTGTTTTGTCTTCTATCCTCCTGTCTCAGTAGGTCGTGCTTATCTGTCTTAGGCTATCACAGTCGATATCATTTTTCCTTTCTTTCTACAAGGGTCTTACTGTTACTGTCTTTCTCTATATCTTTTTTCTTTTTTTTTTAAATCCACTTTCTTACTTTCGGTTTTTGTTTTGTTTTGGGTGTAATATTTATCTCTTCTTGTTTGTTTGTTTGTTTGTTCTTTATAACTTTCATATAAGTAACTACAGAAAGTGGGTCATTTCAGTCTTATATACCATACCTTACACTGTGCAGTTTTGTAATGGCAGGTAATTGTTTCCTGGATTTTAAATAGGTTTATAAAAACTTTTTATCTGGATCATCTAATGCCATTTTTGTTGTTTTTGTTGGAAAAGTGTATGTCTTGCTAGGTAAAAATATTTGATTTGTGCTTTCTAGGCTACTATACCAGGAGTGGATATGTGCCAGGACCTATTTGCAAGTACAACTTCACTTCTGTCTATGGCGTTGCGATGGAGAAAAACAAGTATCTTCAACCAAGTGTGAGTTTCATTAGCATCGTATGCCTTGCTGGTTTTTATATCTTTCTACTCTCATGCGCTAATGTTATTGATCAGTTCTTCTTCTTCTTCTTCTTCTTCTTCTTCTTCTTCTTCTTCTTCTTCTTCTTCTTCTTCTTCTTCTTCTTCTTCTTTTTGTTCACTGGCTGTAAATTGTGTGGAAAGTTGTGATTGTTTAATTTTGGGACCTTATTCTCGTTACATAACTTGAGTTTTGCTTGCACATCTGTTTTGCTTATCTGGCTTATAAGTATACAAAAACAGTGCGTGTATCTTCTTCTTCTTCTTCTTCTGCCTTCTATCCCCAATGGAGCACAGGCCCTCAGGAAACTCATGCCAGGTCGTTCTATCCTTCACTGTTGCATTCAACTCTCTCCATATGCTATCCATTTTTTAAACTTCACTCTCTGGCTTTCTTCTCCATATGTTTTTGTTTTTTGCTTTGTGGGTCTTCCTTTATTTCTGTGCCCCTGTGGGTTTCAGTGCAAAGACATTCTAGTTATAGCTAGGGCTGTACCGAATATTTGCTTCGTATTGGCTTCGGGGCCGAATAGTGCACCGAATAACTATTCGGTATTTGGCAAAATACTTGCGGTTGGGCCGAATACGAATAGTGGTTACCTTACATCCGTTTTTGCACACACTGCGATGGACTGAAATAACTCTCTCTTGAACACAATAGTTGCTGTTGTTGCCTAAATCTTTCGTAGCGGGGAAAACTGCGACCCAGTTGCTTGGTACAGCAGCTGGCAAGGTCTTTGCCTGCTGACTCAACCGAGGCATTACGGCATAGGTTCTCAAACTGGGTGTGTATGCCAGGGGTGCCACGGCGAAAATCAAGCAAAGTCGGCTATAAATTGACATTATTAAAGAAAGTATGAAGATACTTAAAAGTTAAAATTTTAATTGTCTTTCCTGGCCATTGTTGAAAAGAAAGACAGGCGACAGGCAATAACTTTATTTTATAAAAATTAAGAACATCTTATGCAATTTATCTTTGTCATTGAAGATTAGTAAAAAGAATTCTTGCTTGCTACATACATCCAGTTTTAACATATGGCTGTGAGTCCTGGACAATCGGTAGGCAGGCAAAACTATTTCAGAGATATAGTTTTACAGAACAATGCTTAAAATACCTTGAACAGCCAAAAAAAGCAACCAAGAGGTTTTGAAGTAGGTGGGAGCCCGAAGACAACTAATCACAGACATCAGAAGGAGACAGTCATCATTTTTCAGCCATGTTATGAGAAGAGGGAAAATGAAACATGTGGTGACCAGTGGAAAGATCTGTGGAAGGAGTAATAGAAGAAGACAACGAGAGAAGATTCTTGACAGTCTTGTTGCATGGCATGGAGGTATGTCAGCGTATGAACTAATACATGCTGCAGGAAATTGCAGGTTGTGGTGAGGCATAATCGTCCCGGCTAGTCGACAAGGCACCTGATGATGATGATACACTATTCGTATTCGTATTGGCCGAATAGTTGGTCCCACTATTCGTATTCGGTCGAATAGTGAAAATCACTATTCGGTACAGCCCTAGTTATAGCATATCTACAGGCTATCGTCTATCTATAGACTTTATGGTATCTACAGGCTTTCATGTATCTACAGGTTGAATTGTATTTATATGCTTTCTTGTATCTGCAGGCTAGAATCTTCAGCTACCTTATCGTAGAAGATGCCGAGATATTCCCAGGCAGGCTGGCCTGTGACCACTATGGCAGCATGTTGAAGCTGGAGACGGGAGAGAACCTCATCACCCAGATGTCCAACTACTTTGAATTCCTGTCGGCTATTGCAGTCATGGAGAATGCTCTGTGGACCGCACCGTATCTCGATGCTTGGGGGCTGGGTCTGATGATCACGCATGCGGTTGCCGTGACAAGCAAGAAAACTGGCAAGTGAGTACAGTTGATGTTGAATTGAGTCAAGAACTGACATCATAGCACTCAGGATATTCTTATAAGCGCTGTGTCCTCATCTTCAGCAGCCAGTGAATAATTCCAGTGGCTATGTATAACAAAAACAGAATCATGTACATAATGTACAGAGAAACAGAAAGTAGAGTGGATGTACAGAGAAACAGAAAGTAGAGTGGTTGAATTAGGAACTGACATCACAGCACTCTGTACATTCTCACATATGCTCCATCCCCATCTTTAGCAGCCAGCACAGAGTTGGGATTCTGATGGTACCACTTCAAGTTTGATTGCCTTTCCTGTGAGTGTAGAGTGTCAGCTACATCCCCTGGTCACTCCCCCCTCCACAGCCTAATGATTTTTATTCACACTTCCACTTTGTTCACATTCTCCTAAGAGGTCTCGACAACATCTAGCTTGTCATTCACAAATTTGTCACCCAGTGGTGCTGCACCAGCCTTTCTGTCTGCCTATTGGATTCCCACTACATCTGCCTGCCCGGAAAAAAAATCCAAACAACACTTATTGCTGGGGACTTCAGAAGTAGTGCTTGCCACTCTGCATGGAGTATGCCTTTCTCACCTGTTCTCTGCATACTTTGTGAGTCTGTTTACCAACAGACAGATGGATAATACATCCATCTTGCTTGTCTTCCGAGTGAAGTGTGTCACCCCCAGCTGTACCATTTTCTCCAGGCAATAATGATCTGTTTGTGCCTCCCCATTGTTCACTTGCTCCCCTAGGACCTTGACCATATGTATATACAGATGATTCTCAGATCCATTTAATGTGGGATCTAGAACACAATGATAGGGCTGAAGCTTTCTCTTCTGACTCACATGCCTATTCAGGAACGGATATTTGACAGAAATAACTTCCCCCATTTTCCCCTTGTTTCGATATTTAAATGATGTTCGGGTTGCAATTTGAGAGACCCAGGTTCGAGTCCTCTGTATATTTGGGCGTATTTTTCTGTCATTGGCAAAAACAAACTTTTAATCTCCCAGTCCCCCTTTCCTTACACACACACACACCCCCACCCACCCCCAAACCTCTCAAAATGGTAAAACAGGCAGTGACAACATTTTTTTCTGTCAGCATTACCGTTAGGCAAAGATAATGATGTTGGTTACAACACACGTTGACAAAACCTGATAACAATATAACTAGAATGTTTTTGCAGTGGAACCCACAGGGGCATAGAAATAAAGGTAGAGAGTTAAGTTAAAAAGATGGGAAGGACATGGGGGTAAGCTGCCTGCAATAGCCAGGATAGAAGGATTTGCTGTGAGTTGCTTGAGGGCCTATGCTCCATTGAAGGCAGAAGACAGAAGAAAAGACAATAAATAACACTAACCCTACACTCTATCAAACATTTCCTTAATAGCAGACTTATAAATGGTTAATCTTGAGTTTTCATTTGTGGGCTGTTTGTGGTTTTACTAGATAAATTTACTTTCAGTAGTTTGCCATTGCTTACTGAAAAGTTCGCACTATATATCGTTGTTGAAGTCAGCACAAAGTAGTCTGCTGCCAAATTGCCTGCAGCTGAATTGAATCAGGTATTTCAGAATCACAAAGTGTGTTCTCAACCTCTAAGCAACAGCTGCTCCCAGTACTAAGCACCATCTCCAGTAAGACTGTAGAACTTTCCTTCCCTCTCAGAAGAAAGTGGGTTGGTTATATTTCTTTCACAGGTTTTAGGCATATCATTGACACTGATCTCCAGGCCAGTGCCCAAAGGGAAGAAAACAGTTATCAGTTTCAGGTTTGAATGTTGAAAATTGAATTGAAATTCAACATTACAGCACTCAGGACGCTCCCATAAGTGCTCATCCCATCTTCAGCAGCAAGCGAAGAGTTCCCATTGCAGCTTTCCTTTTATTTGTTTATACTGCAGATACATTGGAGTGGTTGGAGTTGATGCAACCCTGGATGAGATAGAGAACTTTTTGACCAAACATCAGTGGGGTTCAGTCTACTCCTTCCTCATCAATTCTCAGTCCGGAGTCATCTTCCACCCCAAGCTCAAGCCAAGCACAAAGGTAGGTGTGAGACAGTGGGTTCCAAGGTGTGAGACAGAGGGTTCCAAGGTGTGAAACAGAGGGTTCCAAGGTGTGAAACAGAGGGTTCCAAGGTGTGAGACAGAGGATTCCAAGGTGTGAAACAGAGGGTTCCAAGGTGTGAGACAGAGGATTCCAAGGTGTGAAACAGAGGGTTCCAAGGTGTGAAACAGAGGATTCCAAGGTGTGAAACAGAGGATTCCAAGATGTGAGACAGAGAGTTCCAAGGTGTGAGACAGAGGGTTCCAAGGTGTGAAACAGAGGGTTCCAAGGTGTGAGACAGAGGATTCCAAGGTGTGAAACAGAGGATTCCAAGGTGTGAAACAGAGGATTCCAAGGTGTGAAACAGAGGATTCCAAGGTGTGAAACAGAGGGTTCCAAGGTGTGAAACAGAGGGTTCCAAGGTGTGAAACAGGGTTCCAAGGTGTGAAACAGAGGATTCCAAGGTGTGAAACAGAGGGTTCCAAAGGTCGATTTGATGCCTTGGTCAAAGGCCAGTTACTTCTTTTGCTGCTCCTCCTCATCTTCTCTTTCTTCTTTTTCTGTTTTGGCACATTTTGCTATGGTTTCTAACTAGCAGTTATCACAGCACACGGGTGGAACCCATAAGTTCTCCGTTTTATTTCTAACTCAAGCCTGAGTCTGAAAAATCTTAGCACAGTACACTAACTCCTTTGCAACTACGAGGATCCTGTGCCCAGGCAGCGCCGTGAGGCTACTCTTTTTCAATTTCTAACTGCAGAAGTATTGTTTACATGCCCAACAATACACACGGGCGTTCGGTCTTACTACAAAGAAAATTACTAGAAGTCCACTTGAAAAAAATCCCAACCTTCAGCGGGGTTTGAATCCGGGACCTCCAGCACTCTAGGCAAATACCATACCTCGAGACCACGCATACCCCCCCATCTAGGCTATGATAACTGCTAGCAACATTTACCCAGAATTCATCATCGGGATAAGCAGCAGGGTCCTTTATTTTACTTACTCAAGTGTTGAGCTAAGAACTCGGGACATTCCCATAGACACTTCATTCTTATCTTCAGCAGCCAGCAAAGAGTTCCAGTTCTGATTGTATTAGTAGCGGTTTGATAATACATCCATCTTGCTTGTCTTCCGAGTGTAGTGTGTCACCCCCCAGCTGTACCATTATCTCCAGGCAATAATGATCTGTTTGTGCCCCCCCCACTGTTCACTTGCTTCCATAGGACCTTGACCACAACTAGCTTGTCATGCATAAACTCACCACCCATTGGTGCGGAACCAGCCAGTCTGCCTATTCATTTCCTAACACTTCTGCATACTCTGGAGAAAATAACCCAAGAACGCTAATTACTCAGGACCTCTGAAGCAAAGCTTGTCACTGTGCACAGAGCATGCCTGTCTCCACCTTTCTTAAGATACTTTTAAAGTCGGTTACAATCACGTGTGTGTACAGCTGGTTCTTAAGTCAGCCAAAAGCTTTTGTGACTGCCTCCACTTCCATTCTCAAACTAGATGTAGAATCACAACATACTACACCAAATGGCATCCATTTGCTTTTGCAGTGAATCCCACAAACTTCTTCTGCTTCTCAACACAGAGCCATCTGTATAGCTAATCACATCACCTGGATGGGAATCAGTTGTTAAATTGATGATTCTGCCATGCCTGCTGATCAATCCCTGTTACTTACTGACTGACTGACTGACTTTCTACCCCACTAGGACATCACAAAAGCGATAAACACCCGATGATACAAAGTACCACCATGTGGATGAGGATCACCGTAGAGAGGTCCCAGAAACCGCGTTCAGACTATTGGTCATATTTATGGCCTGCCTATATTGCGGCCCCTGGCAAAAGCCAGGGTGGGGCTTCAAATAACAAAAAATTGCATCCTAAAAAGGACCTAGAGATTATTTTAACTTACCGTGTTACTTACTTTATTTGGCTAAGATTCATAAGCAATGCCTTTTCAATTATCATTCTTTTAATCAGAAGTCAGAGTGGTAAATATTGCCACCTGTCATGCAGGAGATGGGGGTTTGAATCTCCAGTAGCTACCATAGAAGGCTAGAGTAGCTTGGAGCTACAGAGTCTGTGTCTGACAGATTCAAGCAGCTTCGGGTTTAGATCTGTTATGACCATTATATAAGTGTAACTTTTCAATTGACCATATATCCTACTCCCTTGCAATCTCTGGCTAGTTGAATGCTGCGGTCTGCTCAGACGTAGATGAAGGATGGGAGATCTTGCATTCATGAAGGGCAGTTGGACTGTGTAAAGAACAGGCCTTGCTGCTACCATCTGGTGAATTGTCAAAATTATGAAGCAAACCCATAACTAAATATTTATATCATTTGCAGAAACTAGTAGAGAAAAATATACAACGACTTTGGTGTGAGTTGGTTGAGGACCTATGCTCCATTGGGGGCTAGAAAGGCAGAAGAAGAAGAAGTAGAGAAATGGCTGGAAAATTGGTTAAAACTGTGGGCTGTCATTCAGGAAGACTACATATAGTTCCTGTCTATGACACATTACGCAATAAGCAGCCGAACAAAATTAAAAGAAGAAGAAGAAGACCTAGGTTTAAATCCTCAGTAAGGTGAAAGATTTCTTCTTTCGGGGCGGAAAATAAAATCCTGACCTGCACAGTTTATGGTGACTCACTAGCCATGCAGCCGTAAATCCTCAGGCTCAAAATCAGGTTCAAAATCAGGTTCAAACTCAGGCTCAGACTCAGTCTTAAACTCAGGCTCAGACTCAGTCTTAAACTCAGGCTGAGACTCAGTCTTAAACTCAGGCTCAGACTCAGTCTTAAACTCAGGCTCAGACTCAGGCTCAAACTCAGGCTCAGACTCAAACTCAGGCTCAGACTCAGTCTTAAACTCAGGCTCAAACTCAGGCTCAGACTCAGTCTTAAACTCAGGCTCAGACTCAGTCTTAAACTCAGGCTCAGACTCAGTCTTAAACTCAGGCTCAGACTCAGGCTCAAACTCAGTCTTAAACTCAGTCTTAAACTCAGGCTCAGACTCAGTCTTAAACTCAGGCTCAGACTCAGTCTTAAACTCAGGCTCAGACTCAGGCTCAAACTCAGTCTTAAACTCAGTCTTAAACTCAGGCTCAGACTCAGTCTTAAACTCAGGCTGAGACTCAGTCTCAAACTCAGGTTCAGTCCTTCACTGCCCTAAACAAAAGTGGTAAGTACAGGCATGAAAGGTAAATTCAAGTAATGCACAAAGTCATATTGGATTGCAGTGAGGTTTAGGCACTGAGTTGTGATTCTTTTGATGGTATTTGAATAAGAATAATGCATTCTTCTCTTCTTCTTTTTTCGTCTCACTGATACTCGGTTGTAGCCCAGAGTTGTGGTTTTCTGTATTTGTCTTGAATATTACTTGTGTAGTAGCAGTCAGATACACCACTGCCAGCTTGATAGGCCTGTCGCAGGCGGGGCAGGAATAAATCTGACCTGGTTGGTTCCCGTCTCCTTCCAGCCGAGCCATTGCCTCGTTATCCTGAAACTTCACAGCTTTAGTTTTCCGGCGTGCACCACGAAGAGGTGAAGTTGACCTGGGTGCTCTACGGGTCATTGGCGGGCTACTTAAATTTCACTTTTCACCTAAGAGAAGCTAGCCAACCTTATCACTGCTGGCTGCAGTGTCAAGCGCCTGAACTCACCCTTACGTGCCAATAATGCATTAATTACTATTAGATAATTTGTATATTATAAAACTGTTCCTAGAAACTCCCGGAATTTCCCAGGCTGCATTTTGGAGAACAAAGAATAGACCCACCACTCCAACCCCACAAAAGCGTGTCGTTGGAGGTGACTAATTAGGGGTATGTCTTTTAAAATGGGGAGTGCATCTGCCTGAGAGTCAAGAAACCAACAGCCTGCATACAGATAAACCAGATCTGTAAAATGGATGTGCATGCAAAACTCAGGTTCAGGATCAAGACTGAAGTCCAGGACTGTGAGGTCAACCAGAACTTTCCATCAGAGTTTACAGCCTGTGAAAGCTAAGAAGGATGCTTTGAGCGCTGACTCGTTGTCTAAGAGATGATATGTGTAGTGAATGCTCTTAGCACACACTCTACGTTGACATAACTGGGACAACCCGACACCAACTTAAGTACGATGCATCTGTTTATTGATATCTTAACACTCACACGGTTGTTCAGTCTTTGTCCTAGTAAACAGCTTTCACATACCACATCACGCAGACTTCAACATGCTGGTACCTCATGCAGTCACTGACCAGAGTTTGCAAAGATGTATCTGGTTCATCTCCTTGACATTATACAGACTGGCCTGGCTAGTCTTGGCTTCAAACGTCGTCGTCTGGTTTTCCCTTTCACATCAAGCAATCTCATGTTGACATTCTTACAATCAATCTCCTGTCCTTTCACTCTGACAGTTCAACACATACTAACTTGATCAGACTGGGGTCTGATTTTAAACCACAGGTTAGTTTCACATGCAACACATGGTGGTCCTTTACTTCCACGTGGCGACCTGTGGTCACATCATCGTGTTACACATGATAACTCGTGGTCATCACCTATCTTGAAAACCTCGTTTAATCTGAGTATCTGGAATATCTCGGTATTTTGGTTAACCTTGGGCTTTCCCCCCAACCTTCCTAATCCGGGTGAAAATATCCCCCATTACAAAGGAGATCCTTAAAACTAGTGCAGTTCTGCATTTACCAGTATTCTCCATTTTTGTGTGTGCACATTTTTTTAACTTTCACATGTTCTGTTTCTTAACCAGCTCCTGGAGGATCCCATCTTTATCCCTATTGCCCAGTTGGAACAAGACAAGGATGGGAAGCCAAGGGAATTCTCCGATATTGAAGATGCCATGCTGCAGGGGAAAACTGGCTCAAAGATCATCAGCAAGTCTAGAGATGGGAAAACTCGGGTACATTTCTGTCTTTGTTATGTTATCGCACTCAGTGTCACTGCAGGTGGGCATTCTCTTGCGTGCTGAGTCCTCTGATACAGCAGCTACCCCAGGTACCTTCACAGTTTTGACCTTGAAGATGGCGTAGATGTGCTTCACCAGGCCTTACTCCGCGGTCATGTTACCGAGTTTTGTTAAATGTTGTCTTTACAGTTGTTACTTTAATCCTTAATGGCGGGAGCCCAACAGACACAGATGGCATGCAAGGACAAGAACACTCCGGCAGAACCATATGTCACAAAGAAAGAAACAAGAAACAACACAAAGACCACAAATATAACTGAAGCTTACATAGAATCAGGAGTGGCTGTGGTCAGGGAGCTAGATACTCGCCTGTGAATCTAAAGGTCACGGATTCAAATCTCAGCTTTTTCAGAAATGATCTTGGCTTCCAGGTTGACCCAACCCTAAATGGGTATACAAGTAAAAGTCCTGGAAAGTAAAGGCGGCCGGTGTGATGTCCACCACATGACCCACCAAGCGCCAACTGGTCTGTAAAATATAGGTCTAGCCCTATATGCCCAATATGCCTGAAGATGGTTAAAAAAAGGGGGGTCCTTTACTTTACTTACTTACATAGAAGCGGGTTGAACATGGTCTGTTTTTGTATATTTTATATATCTTTTTCTTGAAAGAAAAACAAATGGAAAAATTATGTAACTCGCTCCTTTGCATTTATTTCTACAAATACTTCTCTCCTTGATAATAAAATAGTTCATGGGGATTCATAGCAAAAGCTCATCCACGTCACTTAGTGCATAAAGCCTGGCATATGATATCACATGTCTTATATGATATCACATGTCTCCACGCCAATATCAGATATGGAAACAATTACTGGTCTCCATAATCTGGAAGATAGGAGAGACACAAAGCTCCTCACCCAGCTCTCCAAATACAACCACTTTCAAGAACAACCCATGTACAGCCGACTGCAGAAACCCCAGAAGGCTAGACTAAAGAGAACCTGTTTTATCAAGAACGCAAATGCCAAGCTCGCTGTCCTTAAACTCCCTCCCATAATACCAAATGTTCCACTTAAACCTTACAACGACTGCCCCGCTTGGCTTAGGGATAGCCTACCAACAGTCAGAACCACTGTAACAGGTGTCTCCTCCAAATCATCAATGAGCAGCACTGGTATGAAATCAACTACAGAAGGAGAGATCAACAGACTTTATCCACACCCGAGTTGGATTCGAGTGTACACAGATGGTTCAGCCAAGAGAGCAGTAAGAGACGGAGGAGGAGGAATATACATAGAATGCCCAAATGGTTTAAAAATCAACCAGGCTGTACCAACAGGTTCATATTCCTCCAATTATAGAGCAGAGGCAGAAGCATTTCTAGCGGCATGTTCTTTCCTGAATGGACAACAGCACAGCAAATATAGCAGAGTGGTCTTTCTGACTGATGCTATGTCAGTTCTACAAGCAATTGTTAACCCAAAAGACACTCAGTTTGTAGACTTGACGCAACAGCTGATTTGCTTAGGCTCTTCAGTAGAACAATCTGTACTGCAGTGGATTCCAGGTCACTGTGGCTTGGAAGGCAATGAAATAGCGGACAGATTGGCCAAAAGCGGCAGTGACATGGTACAACCAAATAGCGACTTAACCCACCAAGAGATGAAAACACTAATACAAGCTAGTATCCAAGAAAGGTGGCTGGATACCCACACCAGGTTTTCTCCCCAAGACTCACTTCATCCCCTCTCTAGAGAGGGACAGTGTATTATATTCAGACTAAGGACAGGGCACAACAGATTTCGTCAACATATGTTCAAATATTTTGGTGTAGGAAATACGGAGACGTGTCCCTGCAGCGTGGCACCCGAAAATGCTGAGCATGTGCTCCAACACTGTCAACTGTATGCTGACAACAGAGACGCAATCTGGCCTGTTCCAACCACACTGAAGACAAAACTGTATGGTACACGAGAGGATATGGATTGCACGATAGCTTTCATAAAGGCTACCGGCCTCCTGATATAAGTTTTCTGACAGAAGGATCGAAGAAGAAGAAGAAGAAGAAGAAGAAGAAGAAGAAGAAGAAGACATGTCTAGTTTGAGAATAGTGATGGAGGCAGTCCCTGGATTGAGGAGAATGGCGCGGCGAGATGTTACTAGGGGATCTGGCCAGCGCTCAACACTCAGGGGAAGGGTGAGACGGATGTACAATCAGACAGTTACTGGTACCGTCAGAATTGGAACACTTTGCTTGCTGATGAAGATGGGGACGGAGCGCTTATTGGAGTATCCTGAGTGCTATGATGTTGATTCTTAGTTCAGCATTAAATATTTTCGATAGTAATGATTTTTACTTATTTGTCTGGTGTGATTATAACTTCAAATAATACTTGCCTGGAACACAAAGAGTTACCTCTTTCGGTTAAGGAAGTCTTAGCTGATACCAGAAGGAGGCAATAAATTAGAATACACATTGGCAAGGCAGTTGCATTTTTTTTTTTAGAAACCTAAACAGAATTTGTAACTCTAAACTGTGTAGTTTTAAAACCGTGTTACATAATTTCATTTCCTATTTTATTTAAATTCGCGAAAACTTATTTGGAAGCTGCGGAGATGTGGTTTTATGGACAAATGATGAGAATACCTTGGACAGATAAAAAGAGTAATGGAGACGTCGTGAAAGAAACTGATTCACGAAGAGAACCAATTGCCCACATCAGAAAGAGACAATCTACATTCTTTGGTCGTGTGATGAGAAGGAGAAAACTGGAGTACATCGTGACGGTAGAAAAGTTGGAGAGGAGGAGAGGCAGAGGGAGACTGAGAGAACAGATGCTGGACAGTTTGACATCATGTCATGAAAGATTATCTGTATCAGAGTTGATTGAAAGTACAGGAGACAGAAGGTTGTGGATGGACATGACTACCAACACCACACTGCATGGATTTTAAGAAGAAGAAGATTGTATTTCACTTTTAAGATATTTCATTGAAAGTTGGAGAACTAAAGTCATGGAGGACAATAATCAACATTAAATGAGTTCAAGAAACGTGAAGAGAAATGTCTGGACAGCCGCTGGTATCAACAGTTAACAGAAAAAAAGAAGATGGTGCTTTACTGAGCACATCATGAACAGATGCAGATAAAGGATCACAAAACAGGCACTAAAATGAGAAACAAATGGTTTGAAGAAGTGAGGACATCCAAAGGAAACCTAAGATGTTGTTGAATATTATGAGTTGGTTGTTTTCACAGCTCTCCGGACACGTCCATGGATGCTCAGATTTTTCTGCCAACATCCTACAGTTTATAAAGCCAGTCCTATGCTGATTAACAGGATTTCTTGTATGTCATATATGCTTCTCATTCTCAGCTGTGCTGTTCTTTATTCCACAATTCTTGCATTCTTAGCAGTGATGTGGAAACATTGCTCCCAGCTCCCGCCCTTCCCCCACCCACTCAATCATCCCATCTCTCTAAGGACATTATCAGTGTTGGTGCAGTCCATAGGCCTACCAAGGCGGAACTGGCCAGTCTCTTAGCTCTTTCTTAGCCAGCACCACCGGCATGCCCTGGGCACGACCGGCTCCAGCTGATGGGCCGAACTGCTGAGGTCACAACGGTCGGGCTAATGATGCGTTAATGCAGCGGTTCTCAAACTGGGTGCTCAGGCACCTTGGGGTGCTCTGAGCGTACGCCAGTGGTGACGCGGCAATAATCAAGAAAAGTCGGCTAAAATTGTGAAATTATTAAACAAGGCATGTAGATACATAAAAGTTAAAATTTAAGTTGTCTTCCCTCGCCACTGTCGAAAATATTTTATTGCTTGAGAACCGCTGCATTAACGCATCGTTAGCCCGACCCCGTGACGTCAGCAGCACAGCCCGTCAGCTGGAGCCGGTCGTGCCCTGGGACAAAGATGAAGTTGTTGAATGTTTGAGGACAACAGTGCTGGCCTGGATTCCATCCATTATATTGCAAGACTGCAAGCCCTGTGAAACTTATTGTTGCATGGTAGTATGATGGTGATGTCCAGGATAATGACGATGATAAGGTGGAGAAGGAGGCAGTAATTTCAACAAACAAATAGCTGTACTCTGGCCACATCGGCCTAGTGCACACCCTTTAGGAAACATCGCCAGGAAGGCTAACCCGGTTGACAAATGCCTGAAGAAGTCAGAAGTGTCAGCCAAAAAGTGCAAATATCACAGCTATGCTGTAAACAAGCACAGCACATTTACATAATTCGGACGAATGATGAAGGAGAAAAAAAATATTTAAGAGTGTGTATTTTACCTTTCGTCAAGCTTCACTGTCGATTTGATGACCATTTGTAAATATTTTTAAAATAATTTGTAAAACATTTGTGAATCATTTGTAAATCATTTGCAGATCATTTGTAAATATTTTGTGAATCATTTGTAAATCAGCTGTAAATCATTTGTAAATCATTCCAGACATACTACTATGGATCGATCCTGGACAAGGAATACTCTTTCGCCTTCAGCTTGGGCAGTGAAGACATGGTTTGTTGATGTTTTTGGTTCCTTTTTTAAAATTCAAAGTTAAATGTGTTGAGCTGGGTTAACCCTTTCCACCTGAGAAGTTGTAAACCCGGCACATTTATTTGTGACATCCCTGTAAATGCCGCTAAACTGGTATAGCTGCGTTGACTTATCTTGACTCATCCTTCAAAAGTCTCATAAATGGCAAACTGGTTGACCGGTTCGTCACATAGATCCTCTAGAGGAGTGGTTCTTAACCTGTGGGTCACAACCCCTTTGGGGAGATAAATGACCCTTTCACAGGGTCGTCTAAGATCATTGAAAAACACATATTCACTGAAGTTATGAAGTAGCAGTGAAAAAAGTTTTGTAGCTAGGGGTCACCACAAACGAGGAACTGTATTAAACAGCCCTGGCTTTACAAAGGTTAAGAAACACTGCCCTAGGGGTGTTAAGATAATGGACCTAAACATTTGTGGAAGGATAACCTCTTTTTACTGAACGGAAGCCTCCTGTTATGCATGCTTTCCTCCCCCCATGTGGGTGAACAGACCCACTGCCTCCCTAACAAGCATGTCCTAAGAGTAGACTAACTAGGGGTTTCCTTAACAGTTGGAGTGCATCTGCCTGAGAGGCAACAAACAAACAATCTGCACACAGGTAAGCCAGATATGTAAAATGGATGTGCATGCAAAACTCAGGTTCTGGAACCAAGACCAATGTCCAGAAGTTTGAAGCTGGTGAAGAAGAAGATGAAGAGGAAGTATATGCATGTTTTCCTGCAAAGTTTTTACTACACACAGTACAGATCCGATGAGGCGATTTCTGTTGTGAAGAACAATTTGTTTATCCCTGGTAATTTTTCTTTCTTTAACTTTTATCTGGATAAAATTAATTTCTAATAAATATAACTATTTCTTGCATTCCCTGTGAGTTCTCCTTATCATTTCTGCATGTAATAGCCATTAAAGGTTAATTTTGCATCTCTTATGTTTTGTTATTGCTATGTGTTTCAGATTTTCCGCCGATCTCAAGAACCAACAAATCGCTCTGGGATCGGGGAAAGCTACTTCAACTTGCTGAAGATGTATGACAGCCCTTTGCTGAAAGAGAAGCTGCCAGGAGTACTTGAGAGGCTTCAAGTGAAAGACAAAGAGGCCAAGTACCCAGGACTTAGGGTGTCATACGAGCACTCAACAATATTTTTAGGTTTGTATCCTCCTCACCAATAAGATCATAATTTTGTCACGGCACATCTGAATGTCTCTCTTTCTCTAACCAGTTCTTCAGCCCTATGTGCTTTCATAGGTCGTGCATTTTCAGTGTCTTGTATCCACTTTTGCAGAGGTCTGCCTCTGCTTCCTTTTCCGGAAACTACCCTCCATCGTCTTTCTGTACAGGCCATCATAATGTTTAACATAGAACAGCTCAGCTTTCAGAACAGAATGCTATTTATGAGCCAATTCTCCTCAGTGATAGGTTACAGAAGTTTATGTTAATCGATTTCTGCCAACCAATAGTTTGTTTGTCATACTGTTTACTGTGGCTTTCTTCAGCTGTTTATCATACTGTTTCTGTAGCTTCAGAGATTCCCCTAGCTGTTTATCATACTGTTTCTGTAGCTTCAGAGATTCCCCTAGCTGTTTATCATACTGTTTCTGTAGCTTCAGAGATTCCCCTAGCTGTTTATCTGTAGCTTCATACAGCTGTTTCTGAAGCTTCAGAGATTCCCCTAGCTGTTTATCATACTGTTTCTGTAGCTTCAGAGATTCCCCTAGCTGTTTATCATACTGTTTCTGTAGCTTCAGAGATTCCCCTAGCTGTTTATCATACTGTTTCTGTAGCTTCAGAGATTCCCCTAGCTGTTTATCATACTGTTTCTGTAGCTCTGTTTATCATACTGTTTCTGTAGCTTCAGAGATTCCTAGCTGTTTATCTACTGTTTTCTGTAGCTTCAGAGATTCCCCTAGCTGTTTATCATACTGTTTCTGTAGCTTCAGAGATTCCCCAGCTGTTTATCATACTGTTTCTGTAGCTTCAGAGATTCCCCTAGCTGTTTATCATACTGTTTCTGAAGCTTCAGAGATTCCCCAGCTGTTTATCATACTGTTTCTGTAGCTTCAGAGATACCCCAGCTGTTTATCATACTGTTTCTGTGGCTTCAAAGACACCCCAGCTGTTTATCATACTGTTTCTATGGCTTCAAAGACTCCCCAGCTGTTTATTTGTGTATGTTTCATGTCTCAGCTCCTCAGAGTCACTGTGACCCCATTGAATACTCCTACAATGACAGCCTGGAGAAAAAGACCTTGGATGCCCATTTGTGGATCAATGGAAATGACCCTGACAGAGGGTGTGAGGGAACAGGTCAGCTCTACAACAAGGGGGTGAGGTAGGTGGTTGCTTCCATCTCATAGAATAAATATTAGCCATTGAGGTGAATATCTTTTTCTTGAAGTTTATGCCATGTGGTGTCAGGGGTCATGTCTGTCCACATCCTTCTGTCTCGTGTATTTTCAATCAACTCTGTTGACACAGAGAATCCCACATGCCATGATGTCATACTGTCCAGCATCTGTTCTCTCACAAATAATCCGACATTAGAAATGCAGTTCATCATGGATAGTAGCAGAAGTCTCCAACAGATCAGCAGTTGCACACACGTTCAGTTTTAATCACATGGCACCACCAATATTGCGACAACAGGCATCGCGCCATTTTCTGAATCTACAATTCACACCACCATGTTGGTCACAGTCCAAAAACATTCTAAATGAAATCCACAGCTCACAGTATCACACCATGCACTTAACTCAGAAGCTGGGGACAAAAATATATCCTTTCAGTCTACAAGTGAAGCAAAAATGAAATGGCCTCCATCTGGCAGAAGCAAAAAATTTGCCACGACTCAAAACGTTGGCCGTGCCAAGTGTCCATTTTGACCGGAAGCTTCGGATGAATGAGATAATGAGTGAATGGGCAGATGATGCATTGAGGAGGTTGCTAACCTTATTATAGGAAAGAGGAATTCAACCTAAAAACTTCATATTATGGCAGGGGAGACCAGACCCTTAGCTGACAGCTGGTCTAGGAGGGAAGCGCTAACAGGTGGACAGACTGAGCAGTGATACTGCAGCTTCTGGGGCATACTTTGTTCCAAATGTACTGCTAATACCTTTCCTTTGGAGTAAACAAGGCAGGTTTAAAGTATTATGATGTATGGGCATCACATAGTCTCTACAATACTGCCCAGTCTCTGTGCTATGAAAGTCAACTCCCCGTCTCCATGAGATGTCATTCCCATACCTTCCCATAGCACTAAATTGCACTGTTGTCTGGAAAGACGGAAAGATGCCAACTGGACTAAATGAATCAATGAGTGAATGTGCAAATGGGCATTATTTACTTCATGGGCCAGGACAGGCAAAGTATCCTTTACCTTTTTTTTTTAACCTTTCTTTGCATTTGGTATGTCGCTTGGTATTAAAAAGGTAATGCAGTTTCATACATTGGTCAAATGTGAAATAATCAGATGTGTAATTTTTTTTTTGTACACAGAAATTAACATGAAGACACATTTTTTAAAAGGGGTGATAGTTGATCATACCTATGAGTGCATTTTTTTATCTGCAGCGAGGTGTTGTCATCATTTGGAGGTGGTGGGTTCAACTCCTGGCCTGGTAGAGGTAGCTTTTGAATTATATGTTGTTTAGTGTGTCCTATTTGTCTACTTTCTGTGAGTACCAATCAATTCATGTCTCTGTTTACTATATATATATAATAATGTTTTTTTCTGTAGGGCCGATGTACTAATTACCTATCCTATTCAAGAGATTTGGAAGAAACGGGCCTTTGAGTCCTTAGACCAGGTGAAGTGGACCAATGTGGGACTGCGGAGTGGGGTCTTCAGGACTTATCCAGGCCACAGGTCTACTAGGAATTATGACCCGACACAGTGAGTGTTTCACTGCATACAATGTTTTCTTCCTGTCCTCCTTGTTTCTTTGTTTTTTTCTTCTTCTCTTTCTTTTGCGATACTGCTTCTTTTCTTCTTTCTCCTCTTTTTCTTCTTATTCTCTTCCTCCTCCTCCTGCTTGCTTCTTCTTATAGTTGGCATCATAGGGATGTTTTCTCCAGTTAATGCCAGTGTGTTGGGAAATGAACAGGCAGATAGATTGGCTGGTTGTGCATCAAGCTATATGTTGTAAGGGGCCTTTGGGAGCAAGTGAACCAGAGAGGAGGCACAAATAGATTATCACAGTCTGAGAAATATGACACAGTGAGGAGTGTCCAGGCGATCTGGTCAGCGTTCGGAACTCAGGGAAAAGATGAGACCAATATACAGTCAGACTATTACTGGTGCCATCGGAAGTGGAACTCTACGCTTGCTGCTGAAGTGGAGGCTGAGTGCTTATGGGAATTCCCCGAGTACCATAATGTTTGTTCTTGAGCTCATACTTCTTCTTCTTTTTCTCCTCATCCTTCTCCTTCTCCAAATTCTTCTTAAGGTCCATGCCATGTGGCATTGGTAATCATGTCTGTCGACATCCTTCTGCCTTGTATACAGTAGAACCTCGCTTAACGAGCACCTCTCATAACGAGTAATTCACATAGCAAGCAAAACAGATTGTAAAAGAATGACTTGCTTAACGAGCGACGTTTTGCATGAGTGGCGAGAGGGGAAGTCCCGGATTGTGCACATATTACATCAGTCTGTGTTTAGCACTCATCCCAGAAGCATCGTAGCGTCGCTTGTGATCACAAATTTTCTCAAACTTGTGTTAAATTGTGTTATATGTACATGAATAAAAAAAAATTAATTGAATTAATTATTTGGAAGATAATTAGGAAATAGAATTTGTAATTTTGTGTGTGTGAAGTTTAATAAGCCCTTTCAAAAATGTCCCCCGAAGAAAACAGCCATAAAATAATACGGTAAAAATAACCGTAGAAATGAAACATCAAATCATTGAAAAGCGAGAACGAGGTGTAAGCGTGGCTGATCTAGCACGCATATAAAATGGGTCTACATCAACGATTTGCGCTATCCTCAAGATTAAGGACAAAATTAAGGAGATAGATGCTTTACTGGGAGTGAAAAGAATATTTGCGCAACAGGTAGGTATTCTCGATGTTGTTGAAAGTGCTTCTCATATGGATATATAAAAAAAGCAATTGCAAGGTGACACTATTAACGACAGCATCATTTGTGAGAAGGCAAAAATTATTTTCGCCAACCTCGTTAAGAAGACGCCAGGATCATTACCGCCCAAGAAGAAGTATTTAAGGGAAGCCGTGGGTGGTTTGAGAATTCAAGAGGAGAACCGGCATCCACAGCATTGTGAGGCACTGTGAAGCAGCAAAGTTCTGAGACAAAAGCAGCAGAGAACTTCATTGGCGATTTCAAGAAGCTGGTAGATTCTGAAGGTTACTTGCCACAATAGGTTTTTAATTGTGACGAAACAGGTCTCTTCTGGAAAAAGAAGCAGAAGCGAAAGTATGTAACAGCAGAGGAGAATGCATTACCCGGCCACAAGCCAATGAAAGACAGTCTTACGTTGCTATTTTTTGCCAATACAAGCAACGATTTGAAAATCCGCTGCTTGTTTACCATTCAAGAACGCCAGGAGCCTTCAATAAATGCAAAATCCAGAACTAAATGTGATGTGGAGGTCCAGCGGGAAGGCTTGGGTGACACGTGACCTTTTTACTGAGTGGATCAAGGAAGTGTTTGGTCCTTCTATGAAAAAATATTTGCTTGAGTTGAATCTGCCACTCCATGTCTTGCTTGTTATGGATAACGTTCCTGCCCATCCTCCAGGCCTAGAAGATGACCTTCCTGAAGAATTTAAGTTCATCAAGATCCAGTTTCTGCCTCCCAACACCACTCCGTTTACTCCAGCCCATGGACCAGCAAGTTATTTCTTACTTTAAAAAGCTCTACACTAAAGCACTCTTGGAGCATTGTTTTCAGTTGACTGAAGGGACCAACCTCACTCTCAGAGAGTTTTGGAAAAATCACTTCCACACCGTTGCCTGCCTCAAGATGATCGACAAGGCATGGAAAGGGTTTACCATGAGAACATTAACGTTTGCTTGGAAGAAGCTTTGGCCAGAGAGTGTTGTCGAATGTGATTTTAAAGTGTTCGAGACAGTACCTATGGAACCTGTAGTCAACGAGATTGTGTCTTTGGCCACTATCATAGCTTTGGAGGTGGATAACTGTGATATCGAAGAGCTTGTGGAAGAGCACAGCCAAGAGCTGACCACCCAAGAGCTTATGGAGTTGCATTGTGTTTCACATCAAGAAGTTTTGAAGGAAAGTTTATCTGAGGAGGAGGAGGTAACAGAAAAGCAACAATCTTCTGGCGATAAAAGAGTAATGCTGAAAGCATGGGAAACTGTTGCATCTTACATTGAGAAGCATCAGCCTAATAAGGAAGTGGCTATGCGCGCTGCAAATTTATTTAATGATAATGCTGTGTCGCATTGTTGCCAAATTTTGAAGCGTCGGCAAAATCAATTGTCTCTGGACATCTTGCCAGTAAAAAATAATTAGGTATGTATCATAATTATTTCGACTTTTTGTTTTGTTTTCTGGAAATCAAATTCGCATTCCAAAGGGTTCGTTCCGCAGTGGAAGAAGCAATGAAGATTATTTACTCTCCTTAACAATATGTATAAAATATTTTTTGAATAAATGTTACACATATCATTTTGTGAGTATTTTTTCGACATGGAGTGCATTATCGTATTTTACATTAATTCGTATGAGAAAGATTGTTTCGCATAATGAGTTTTTCGCTTTATAAGTATGATTCAGGAACAAATTATGCTGGTTAAGTGAGGTTCCACCGTACTGTCAATCATATGTGACACAGTTGTTCTTCCATACTGTAATGCTAAACTGTTCAGCATCTTCTCTCTTGTCTCCACCATGGGTTCAGAATGCCCCCTGTTGCTAACAGCCTTTTCTTTCCTTTCTCACCCAGACGTCCTTGGTATAAACGCACCAGTGCCGCTCCACACAAGACATCAGTATCCACACCCTACATGGACTCGGCAGGTGTGGGCAAAATCAACACAATCTCGCAGGCAGTCTTTGAAGGCATGACACCCAAGACAGACAAGGAGTGTGCTAACTTCACCAAGGGCAAACTGATGGGCGGCTGTGTGTGTGATGTTGATACTGATTGCTATATCAGTGAGTTTTTTTTTTTTTTTTTAAACTTCTTATGTTGTCAATGACTCTGGGTTTGAGGTTGTGAATGCAGTTTCATAATTCCAACATACCAAAGTTCAAAATCAGCTGCACATGCTTTGGCAGTGCACTGCTTTGCTTTTATTTCAACAGTGGTATGTATGTCGTACTATTCAGAAAGCAGTGGCAAACTGCTGAATGTAAAAGCTGCCCTGATCTTCTTCACATTCACCGGTTGTAAAATCCGGCAGAAAGTTCTGGTTGTTCATCCACTTCTGGACTTTCTTTTGTTCCAGGGCAAAAGTTTTTTTTCATGCACATCTGTTTTAAAGATCTGACTTGTTTGTATGCAGACTGTTGGTTTCTTGCTTCTCAGGTAGATACACTCTGATGGCGAAAGAAACAAGTTGACTCTTATGACATGCTTGTTTGGGGACATTGGGTCTGTTCCCTTTTCCCCCACAGTGGGGCTCCGTAACCAACACGCGGAGCTGCCCTAATGAAATTACAAATAACCAATGAATGCTGGGACTGGTGTGCAATGTTTTTTTTGTTTCTAAAGTTAGGCAATTAACTTAAATTAGATACTATTTCGACACCATTCATCGTTATGATATAATGTGATCAGCAATGCGTGTGTGTGATCTTTCCAGAATTTTTGCTGGTATAACAGAGATGTGCTGAGAGTAATGTATTGGTATGTTTATGTTTGCAAAACAGCTGAAATCCTGGCTTGCAGAATGGGATTCGTCAGCATAAATGCACTAAAAAAATCATGCACATGAAAAAAAGTAAAGGACCCTTTTCCAGGCCTTTAGGCATATAGGGCTAGACCTATATTTTTATAGACCAATCGGCACAAGATGGGGGATGTGATCATCACGCCGGCCGCCTCTACTTCCCGGGACTGCACCCGGTACCCACTCAAGGCTGGGCCGACCTGAGAGCCAAGGTCATTTTTAAAAAAATTCCGGCTCTGCCAGGGCGCGAGCACATGACCTTCGGTCCACGGCAAGCATCTAGATGCTCCACCACGTGGACTTCCAATCATGCCTATGAGATAAAGTTAACGTTGAGAGAACTGACTTCATTGCACTGGATTTGTATCTCATATGGCTTGGTTTTTCTCAGCAGATTAGCTGGCGCCGCCTGTTGAGAGAATCACGCAGAACATAAACTGTATAAACTGTAGCTATAGTTACGATCTTCAGGGATCTTTGTTAAAATATGCACCTGTAAACAAAAGAACACAAAAGTGTAATGAACGCTTGATCTTCAGATGGCAAGACAAATGACCACTTCGGAAGATTGGAGCACTTATGGGTATGTTTGGCATCCATTGAAGATGACCCTGAAAGAAACAGTAAGTCATGGATGCTAAAATTTGTTGACTTTTCTGAAAAAAAAGTTCTTCTTCTGCGTTCATCCGGAGATGTAATTGCATTGTGTCCGTTTACAGCATGGCTGCGATATTTGCAGCATTCGGCCAACACATCCGACTTCTGCGAGCATTTGTTGATCGGGTTAGCCTTCACTCTCTGAAAAAGAGTTAATTAACATTAACACTTCTGTACTGTTATGCACACAGTCATGCATGACAGACTATGCTGCGGCTTCTTCTTCTTCTTCTTCTTCTGCCTTTCTAACTCCCAGTGGAGCATAGGCCCTCAACCAGCTCACGCTGTCTCATGCAGCTCTTCCCATATGCTCCCCATCTTTTTAACTTCACTCTCTTGCTCCCTTCTCCGTGTGTTTTTTGGTCTTCTTTTATTTCCTATGCTCCTGTGGGTTCCAGTACAAAGACATTCTAGTTATATTGTTCTCAGGTTTTCTCAATGCCTATCTTATCTACCACCAGCGTCTTTTCTTCAGCTCTTGGTCCACTGGAACTATGCTGTTAGTGATTATAGGGTCTATTTCATGCTTAAGGCACATTGGGTATCAAATGCTTGACCCATATGTTTATACTTTAATCTGCATTCAAGTTTAGAAACGGACAACCAGCCAGGACTTTTCACCAGAATCTGCAGCCAGTGATAGGAAAGAAGAAGAAAAATATATTTGTAAAATGGCTACTGTTTTTTTGTTTTGTTTCCAGAGGTTTGCTACAAAAGTGTTGCAGAAGGGCCGAACAAGCATCAGCGTCGGTGTGCCACAGAACGGGTTGAGGCTGTGACTGGGCTTGACATCCTGTACGATGACTTCCAGAAGAAGTCCTTGGAAAGCATGCAGGCCTCGGACTTTCGCAAGTCGTGTGGTCAGGAGTATGACTGTCCTGACGGAGAACCAGGATGCCAGACCAGGTGACTTACGGTGTATATGTTGTTGTTGTTGTCTGCTTTCACTGTCTGTAAACTCCGGCGGAAAGACCGGGTTGTTTGTCCACATCTGGACTTTAGCTTTGTTCCACTACCTAAGTTTTGCATGCACATCCATTTTACAGATTTTGCTTATTTGTATGCAGACTGCTGGTTTCTTGCCTCTCAGGCAGATGCACTCAGACTTCGAGAAAAGCTCTCCAGTGGACTCCTACTACATGCTTGTTGGGGAGACAGTGGGTCTGTTCTTGTTTTCCCCCACAACGGGGCCCCCATAACCCACACAAGGAACAATGTATATAAAAAAAAAGATGCTGTTATTATGTCGTTTTTTTAGTATCTTCTTGTTCAGCATTCTGAGCACTTCATGTTCTTCTTCTTTGCATTCACTGACTGTAAACTCCTGTGGAAAGTCTTGTTGGTTCATCCATTTGGACCTTGGTTTTGTGCTAGGACCTGAGTTTTTCATGTGCAACTTTTTTACCAGCTTATTTGTCTGCAGTTTGTTGATCCTTGCCTCTCGGGCAAATCTACTCTGACTTTGAAGGAAGACTTTGATGCTATCTCTGGGATGGCTGAAGTCATTGTTTTACGGGATATCTTCTTTATCACTCGTCCGAGTGATATAATTGAATTGTACTGGTTTACAGCATAGCTGCAATAAACTACCGTTTGGCTGACACATCTGACTTCAACAGGTGATTTATTCACTGAGTTAGCCTTCCCATCTGGTTTCGTGAGACAGGGCACTGGAGAACTAACTCATTCAGGGCAACCACGTGTAGACTGGATGGCCCTCAAGGTAAAGGCAGTGGGCGATCATGTGAATTCCTCACCATCCATGGGGACTTCCATAAATGCAAAGCTGACACATGACATGACACTCCTGGGCTCATCCAAGGAATTGTCACTTCCTGCACATGACTGCTTAACCTCACACCCTCTGCAGACATCACCTGCCTCCATTCATATCTCTGATTGGCCTTCTCTTTCCCTTTGGTGACTCTGAGTGTTTGTAGAGTTTGTTTAGTAGTTTTGTTTTCCCCAGCCTTTTTAAATGGGATGCCACCCTTGAGTATTTGACAAAGCTCCCCCCCCCCCTTTTTTTTTCCACCCTCCCAACTTTAAACAATGTGTCTACAAAGAAGAGGAAAGTAAAATAAAAATAAAATCCCAAGCACTATAAAAAGCCACCTGGAGAAAAATCCCCATAAATCCAAGTGACAAATAACACAAAAGAAACAATCACCAACAACTGGTAATTTTCTGTCCAAATAATAATGTGATGGTTAGCACTGTTTTATCTTGAGGATATCTGCTAATTGTAGTCTGATGTTGGTTAAGGCACTCTCCACATAAAGCTGGTAATTCTGTTTTCTTTTCATGACTGTTTAAACTGTGTACTAATACACCTGATGAGATACAACAAAATATGTCAGTGAATTATGCAAGGTATTGTTTCTATCCACATTATTTTAACTAATTTACCACTTTTCATTTAACTGTTTAAGCCAGATTTTTTTTCATTTGTAGTTATGCTCATCTTTTCAGGTGCTACCTGTTTGACACATCAGCTTTCCTGGTGATGGATGCCGATTTTTTAATGGCCAATGCCCTAGACCCCTCTCAGTATGACATGGTGACCCTTGGCCGCAAGGAAGGGGAGATAATGAAACACCTGGTCTATTACCATAAGTTCTTCAAGCGGGAGGAGTCCATCGATTTCCAAGGCTCCTGTCGTATATCACCAGATGACCCAAAGGTGTGGTAATCCCGCCAAAATTCTGGCTTACATTCTTCTCTAGAGTTAGCATATAAAAGTGTGATTTACACATTGTGTTGCGGTTTACAGCTAGGTGCTCAACATGTCTGATTTAACTGTGTCTATCCCAGAAGTGCATAGTGATGCCCCAGGGAGTCAGTTGTGAAACCAAGAAAATAATTGGGATACTACACCCACAGGGCCCAAACACACAACCCTTGAGTGAGACCAATGTGTTGTGGCATACCCCAACTAAACAAAATGTATGGGCACAATAATATGTGTATATGTATGTGTATGTATAAATATAGATATAAAGATATATATATATATATATATATATATATATATATATATATATATATATATATATATATATATATATATATATATATAGTTATATAGATATATATGGATATATGAGGAAATCCAGTCACATGGTACATTGTTTGGAACAGGGTTTTGCAAACCCTTAATCAGTCTCCTTTTATGTGATGCTTGTTTGGCATATGGGTTCCGGGGCCTTCATTGTAGGGGGGAACAGTTTGAACATCGAATCAACATCATGGCACACGGGTAGTAACCCATAAGTGCTCCATTCTTCTTCTAACTCAAGTCTTGAGTCCAACGAAGCTCAGCACAGTGCACAGGCTCTGTTATACCAGTGAGGATCCTGAAATACTTTGGGTAGACTTTTAACTCCAAATTTTGCTCGGGCAGCACTGTTAGTCTATCTTTTTGATTTCCAACTGCCAAGGGATTTTTTACATGCCTAACAATGCACACGGGCGTCTGATCTCACTACCCAGAGACCAGGCGGGAAATACTAGAAATCCAAGTCCACATGAAAAAATCCCAGCCCTTACCAGGGATTGAACCCGGAATCTTCAGCATTTGAGGCAGACACCATGCCTCAAGACCACACAGCCCCTGTTGGGGAAAAAGAACAGAACCACTGCCCTTCCTAACAGGCATGTCGTAAAAGACAACTAATTATGGGCATTTTCTTTGAGGTCAGAGGGCATCTGCCCAGGAGGCGAGGATCTGGCAGTCTGCATACAAAAAAGCCAGATCTTTCAAATGGATGTGCATGAAAAACTCAAGATCTGGAACAAGACCAGAGTCCAGTAGTGGATGAACAACCAGACCTTTCTGCTGGTGAACATTAAGAAGAGGAGAGAAAAGTCATGCTTGTTAACTCAGTTGTAAGGACCACATTATGTGTTCAAAGGTTCCTACCTAGAAGCTGAGTGAATGCAAGATACCCCAGTTATACATTTTTCTGTACCACCCATTGGGCTTCTGATGCCAAACCCCCCTGGGACTGAGAGAGTTTGAGGGCAGGGAGTCTGTCCCCTGATTTCTTCTTCTACTCTGTCCGTATTCGACGGTTGTAAACTCTAGTGAGCCAAGGTCATTTAAAAAAAAAAGTCCACCACTGTCAGGACTAGAACCTATGACCTTTCGATCCGCAGGCGAGCATCTAGCTGCTACACCATCGCGGCCCCCACAAAACAAACTCTACTGGAGGGAAAAGTCAAAGGCTAGTGAGAAAGAGATATTTGAGAGGTTGTGAACAAGATTTTGATTCGTTAAATTTGAGAGAATCAACTTCACTGCACCAGGTTTTATCCCGTATGGCTCGGCAGTCTATCTCGACAGAATAGCTAGCCGCCTGCCGAAAACATCACACGGGGCACGCTCTGGCGACGATCCTCAGGTATCTATATAAAAATGTCACCTGTAAACCAAATGATGCAGCCGTGAAATGAACCCATGACCTTCAGAGAGCGAGGAGGCTTGACCACTTCGCCCGGAGACCCCCCATGATTGAAATAACATCAGCACAGGTATCACGCTTGTCCGAAAGAAAGGATTATATGAATTTACCAGCTGTCCATGATTCATTTCCATATATCAAGATAGAGCTTTTAAGAATTCTCTGTGATAACTGCAGTGTCACATATCAAAAGTACCCACACAAAGATGCAACATGAACTGTGTGTCTTCCACTTATAAATTCTTTCTGGATTCTCATCTAGGTGACTATGGATGGTCTTCCACAAAATCCAGAGGATACGGATGATTACTACAAGAAAAGGGGCAAGATTCCAAAGTTTCACAATGACTTTGGGTGTATTCAGAATGTTGTCAGCTACAAGACAGATGACCTGGCTTTGGGTAAGTGACCGTGCTTTTCTATGTTTCTGTCTCTGTTTATGTGTCTGACCAAGTCAGTTATTCTTTGTTTCTCTACCTGTGTCTGTCTATGTCTGTGCAAGTCTGTTGAAGTTTTCTGTCTCTGAATAAATTAATAATGTGTCTGTCTATAGGCCTGTCTCTGCCTGTATGTTTGTCTAAGTCTGTTAAATTTCTATTTATGTATACTTATATTTGCCTTATCATATCTGTCCATCTGTTGAATTTCTGTTTATGGCCCTGTCTCTGTCTGTATGTTTGTCTAAGTCTGTTAAATTTATCGGTTTCCTCCTGTATGTCTGACCAAGTTTGTTCAAATTTTCTGTCTGTATGTTTCTGCCTTTATGTCTGTTGATCTGTCTTTATGCCTATTCAGGTCTGTTGAAAGTCTGTCTCTTTGTCTAAATCTCTATTTCTCTATCTTAGCTTTTATTTCTGTCCAGGTGTGCTGAAATTGTCTGAAAATCTTTCTGTGTTCAAACCCTGTTAAATATCTCTGTCTCTGGCTCAATGCCTCTGCAAGTCTGATTAAAAATGATGCAGCGGATTACAATCTTGGTTTAAAGCCTTGATTGTAATCTCTTCTCCACTTCCTTTTTTTTTACCTTTTCAAGTATTGAGGGAGATCAAAGGTTCTGCTCCTTGCTTTTTTGGCCACCTCAGCCACAGACACATCATGCTGTTGTAGAGTTTCTCTGATGTTATCTTTCCATCTCGTTCTTGGTCTACCTCATGAGTACACTTCTTCTCTTTTGGTATATGCCTTGTATGGTATGGCATCACAAGGCTTTCTTTTAAAGCGGGGAAACCATTTGTATGTAATTTAGAATTTGTTCTGTGTCGCCTTTTTCTCTCATTACCTCATTCCTGATTTTTTTTTTCTGATCACTCCTGCAGTCCTTCTCATTCTCATGTTTACTAATTTGATTGTAATGAAAATCTTAAATGTGTATGTGATGCCATCTAGATGTACGTAACAGTTTATATCATCTTTTATCCTTTGTCCTCCAGGTCCTAGTGGAATGATCACTGGAAACGTATCAGGTCCCTGTATGTCTGGTTTCTATTATGTAACCGCACTACCCCAGACAAACCTTTATCTACTGGTTATAGAGGATTGGTTTGCTTACAGACAAACCTTGTTTTATAACTTCAATTGCAAGATAACAAGAAGGTAATGTAGTGGTCCATATTTTGTCTTCCAAATTTGTGTTGTCTCATTAATATACCTTTTTGATTTCATCATCATCATCATCATTTAGCCAGTCCTTTGCAGAATGTTTCACCGTGAGAGAGAGTCACTCGATCCTTTGGCAAGTTTCCTAGTTCATGAACTTCCATAGCCAAAATGTCTGTGGTGTCCTGTTTCTGCCATCTTGCTGAAACACTGCTGTGTTGTCTATTTTGACTTCAGTGATTTTTTTTTTTTTTTAACGTATCCAGAAACCATGAGTTGTAGACCCTTTGGCTCGGTACTATGGATATCGCAACCCTTCGGCATTGATTACATTATAGGTACCGTTAATCTGGGAGAAATGTGGCTTTTCTGCCTACCCCCGGGAGTGAAGCCGGACCACAAGGAGTTCGTCACCCGGCCGCCGCGAAAGTCAGGTTTAACCAACTTCGCTAGAGAGCCGGGCTGACTTCAGTGATAAAATGTGATACAGCGTATTGTTTCTTTGCCTTGTCCAGATGTGAACTCCAGCAGAAAATTTCTTGGTACGAAATGAGTTTCTTGACATGAAATGAGTTTCACTTTCTTTACGTGATAAGAGTTTCTTGATGTGAAATAAGTTTTTCAGTATAAAATTAGTTTCTCAAAATGAAATTAGTTTCTTAATATGAAATATATTTCTCGATGTGAATATAGTTTATTGATATTAGATGAGTTTCTTGAAGTTAAAAGAGTTTATGTGGAAAGTTTCATGGTATTCGGTATACATATGAATATACTTTCTTCACATGAATAGTTTCTTAATGTGTCATGAGTTTCTTTACATGAGATGAGTTTCTTTCCCTGAATAGTTTCTTATTGTGTAATGAGTTTCTTAACATGAATAGTTTCTTAATGTGAAATAAGTTTCTTAATATGAAATGAGTTTCTTTCTTAATGTTTAGCGAGTTTCTTTACATGAAATGAGGTATTGTTTTTATAACCTATTAATTTACTGTTTGTATTTTTAACAGTGTTGTCAACAGCGGAGCCTACCGCATCATTAACGGAACCTGTGCCCACAAAGAAACGTCAGACAGTACTTTGAGGGACCTCGGAAAATGTCCAAAACTCAAAGATGTCAAGCCACGGTGTGAGTTCAATAAAGCCGCCATCGTCATAGGGCATATAACATTCCTTGTTGGAGCTTTACTGCTCTCGTACTTATAACTCACTAATTCATCCACCCTTATCTACTTTTGTTTGTGTTTGACTGTGGTAGCTACATTTTTTTCAAATGTTCGTTTAAAGAAATGAAGATAACTAACTAAATTTAGTTGAAGAAATATAATATTTAATAATTTCAGATCATGTTGGAAGTTGAGTAAAGTTACCACTATCGTAGAACTATTACATTCCTTGTTAAAACGCAGTGGCAAAGCTTGATCATTTTGTGTGCTTGAGCATCAACAGGTAATGATTACACTGGAGAGGGTATTACGTGGTTTTTTGCCAGCTTTTCGCTTTGCTGTTGGGAGTATGTGAGCGCAGCTATCGTCCTAATACTAGTAACTGGTAGTTTTCACTCGTTAAAGTTTCTGCACGAGTGGCGTAAGAATGCAGTGAGCATTTCTTTAGCTACGTTCGAGATGTAAACCAAGTGCTATATTTGTAATAAATAGTGAAGTAAACCGAGTACCATATTTGTAATAAATAGTGAAGTAAACCGAGTACCATATTTGTAATAAATAGTGAAGTAAACCGAGTACCATATTTGTAATAAATAGTGAAGTAAACCGAGTGCTATATTTGTAATAAATAGTGAAGTAAACCGAGTGCTATATTTGTAATAAATAGTGAAGTAAACCGAGTACCATATTTGTAATAAATAGTGAAGTAAACCGAGTACCATATTTGTAATAAATAGTGAAGTAAACCGAGTGCCATATTTGTAATAAATAGTGAAGTAAACCGAGTGCCATATTTGTAATAAATAGGGAAGTAAACCAAGTGCTACATTTGTAATAAATAGTGAAGTAAACCAAGTACCATATTTGTAATAAATAGTGAAGTAAACAGAGTGCCATATATGTAATAAATAGTGAAGTAAACCAAGTACCATATTTGTAATAAATAGTGAAGTAAACCAAGTACCATATTTGTAATAAATAGTGAAGTAAACAGAGTGCCATATATGTAATAAATAGTGAAGTAAACCAAGTACCATATTTGTAATAAAAAGTGAAGTAAACAGAGTGCCATATTTGTAATAAATAGTGAAATAAACCAAGTGCCATATTTGTAATAAATAGTGAAGTAAACCAAGTGCCATATTTGTAATAAATAGTGAAGTAAACAGAGTGCCATATTTGTAATAAATAGTGAAGTAAACCGAGTGCCATTTTTGAAATAAATTGTGAATTGTAATAATAATTAATAAAATAATGCATTTTTCTTTGGCAGTGGAATGTATAAGCCGCGATTACAGTTGTAACTTGCGCATCTCAGCACTGGTCAAAAGTGTTATTTCTTAAATCTATAACTAGCTGACACAAACATCCTTTGGTAGTTTTGTGACATTTTTTAATTTACTGTAGCTCTGGGGATCATTCTCAGGGATCCCGGTAAAAATTGCACTCATGAACTAAACAACTCATCCGTGAAATGAACCCCTGACCTACAAAATAAGAGGCAGACGGTTAGGCAGGCTCTTATTTTTAACATTAAGAAAGCACATGTCAGGGCCTAATATTTGAGAGGCAGGTCTAATATCAGTGTCAAGTATCAGGCCCTGACGTGTGCATTCTCACTGTAAAAACCAGCTCACTTCCTCAGTACCTTTAATTTCCAGATAATTTCCAGAAAATAAAAGCACTTGTCAGATTGTGATGAATAATTGGCATCACTGCACTTCTTCTTCTTAGCGTTTGCTCAGGAAAAAGTTCTGATAGTTCGTCCACTTCTGGACTTTGGTCTTGTTCCAAGACTGGAGTTTTGTGTGCACAACTGATTTACAGGTCTGACTTATTTGTATGCAGACTGTTGGTTCCTCACCTCCCAGGCAGATGCACTATGACTTCAAAGTAAACACAACTAATTAGTGGTCTGTTGCAACATACTTGTTGGGGGGGGGGGGGGGGGGGGGCTTCTATTCCTTTCACACCCCCAAAATAGGGCCCCAGAATTCACACAGGGACCATCACGCACTTTAGATAAGTCTGTAAGTGCTCTGTCTCTCCATATAAAAGTATCTGTATCCAATGCTAGTTTGTTTATCGTAAATTATGCATGATGTTAAGCTGCATAAGTGCCCTAGTTATTTTCTTCGACATGTTTATGAACACTGTTATTCAAATGTATTCCTCTAGTGTTCGAGAAGAATAGTGAGCTCTGTGTGATGGCTAGGATTCATGTCAGGGGGATCAGTAAATGTAACATATCTCTTGATACTGATAGAGTTGAAGTGTGAAGGCCAGATAAATGAACAAACTTTATTTTCAAAGGGTCACAAATTGGGCTTGCAGGCCCATCTTACATTCGGCCCTTCCAAACACTCACATTTCACACTGCAATTGTATTTTATCTTTAAAGCATGTTTGTTCATATGATAATACACATACTGTGAGTATCAAGTAGAATACTGAAAAACATAAAATTCACAAAAGCAGACATAGAATGTAGCGTTGTATTTCTATGCTAGTCATTCTGTTTTCTTTCTAATGTATAAATTCTGTTTAGTGCAATATTGAATGTTTTCTTATTTACAGTCAATGAAGTTTTACCACCACCGTTGTATGAAGTTGATTACCAATCTCATGTATAATATTTATTAATTTGTATTGTATTTTTATTTTAAAGTTTCTCTGTGAAATGAATTTACATTTACAGACACCAACGAATGTGTAACTTAATGAATGATTTTACGTAATATATATCAGGTAATTTTTCAAGTAAATATTATAGTCAGTTTTATGTAAATAATTGTGTGTACCCTGTGCAATATTGAATCATCTGTGGATGTGAATGGCAGTTAGTAGCAGTCAAAAATTCAAGTGGATGCTGCCATTAGAGTATGAGATTTTTAAGTATTAAAATAAACTAGGCCATTATTTAGGTCAGAGACCGGTTCTCTTTCTTGCAAAACTCAGAACAGTCAGATGCCTTCTTCTCCAAGTTCACCGGCTGTGGAAAGTTCTGGTTTTTGTGAGTTTTGTTTTGTCCACTTTTGGTGTTTGATCTTATTTCAGAACTTGAATTTTACATTCAGATCCATTTAACAGATCTGGCTTGTTTGTGTGCAGACTGTTAATTCGTTGCCTCTCAGGCAGATCTACTCTGACTTCGAAGAAATATCAGATGTTTGTTACTTTGTGTAAAAATACATCCTGGTAGATTGTTAGGAACTGGTCACAGTGCTACAAAAATCCACTCAACCTGACCAGCACTTGAGGTGGACGCCATACCTCAAGACCACTTAGCCCCCTGCTCTGTTGGATTACCATCCAGGATGCAACTCTTGTCGCAGGGATGGCCAAAGCTTCATATAACAGCCTGGAGGGGAAAACAGACAGACAAAAGCAAACATTGTTTCATTGAATGAAATGCTCTTCTCGAGGTAATCAAAATATCCCTGTATTGTGAATGCTCAACATAAAGAGTCATCCCCATGTTGGATGCAATTTTTTGTTATTTGAAGCCACACCCTGGCTTCTGCCCGGGGCCCTGAATATAGCCTGGCCATAAATATGGTCTAGTCCATAGATATGACCTAACGGCTGAAAGGGGTTTCTGGGACCTCTCCAGGGGTGATCCTCACCCGTATGGTGGCACTTTGTAACACCGGGTGTTTATTGCTTGTGTGATGTCCTGGTGGGGTATAACTTACCTGCCTACCTGAATACTCAAAGTTATGGCTGTGGTGAACATGTGTTTGTAAATGCTGTGAGTGGTGAACATGTGTTTGTAAATGCTGTGAGTGGTGAACATGTGTTTCTAAATGCTGTGAGTGGTGAACATGTGTTTCTAAATGCTGTGAGTGGTGAACATGTGTTTCTAAATGCTGTGAGTGGTGAACATGTGTTTTCTAAATGCTGTGAGTGGTGAACATGAACAGTGGTGAACATGTGTTTTCTAAATGCTGTGAGTGGTGAACATGTGTTTCTAAATGCTGTGAGTGGTGAAAATGTGTTTCTAAATGCTGTGAGTGGTGAAAATGTGTTTCTAAATGCTGTGAGTGGTGAACATGTGTTTCTAAATGCTGTGAGTGGTGAACATGTGTTTCTAAATGCTGTGAGTGGTGAACATGTGTTTGTAAATGCAGTGATTGGTGAACATGTGTTTTCTAATAATTATTAACTCTTTTGCCCTGTTATTGCTAAAAAAAAAAAAAACAAGGGTCATAACCCTTAGGGAATTCTCAAAAGAAGTCTTTTAAAAATAACAGTTTTACATGGGCCACTGATACATTTTTGAAAAATTTATTTATGTACATTATAAAAATGTTTTTCAAAATGTATGAAGATACATTTTTTTTTAAAATCCAGAAACCATGAGTTGTAAACTCTTTGGCTCGGTAGTATGGATATTGCAACCCTTCAGCCTTGATTATAAAGATATATAAAAGGACTTAAATAATATATGTATCAATTGACCCATCCCATGACCTCCATCACTGAAGCTTACGGGAAAATTGGATGTGCAAAAAAAAAGAAAAACATTTCTTTTGAAAGAAAAGCTCCCTAAATGTTTTTTTATGTCACAAACACTTACAATTGGTCACCATTTACAATTGCTAGGGTGATGTAGGTCTGTTCTTTTTTTTTTTGCTCCCATAATGGGGCCTTACTTAGGGATGATGATGAAATGAAAAAAGGTATATTAAGAACCTGTAAAGAAATGTAGCTGAAGTATAAATTTGTATTTATTGTCTCTCCACAGCATGCTAACATACCATTTACTCTATTTAAATTGATTAACAGATGATGTTGAAAAGTAGATAATTGTGTTTAATTTCTCCAGGCTTATTATCTTCTTTGTTTATTGCTCTAAAACCCTATATAACTAGGGAGTCGCCATGGTCTAGTGGCTGTTCGTTCCCCTGCGGATCGGAAGGTCGTGGGTTTGGTTCCTAAGTGCCAGATTTTTGTTCAAAAATGACCTTGGCTCCCAGGACAACCCAGCCTTGAGTGGATACCAGGTATAGTTCTGGGAAGTAAAGGCGGTCGGCATGA